GAAATAGCTGTTTAAAGTGAAAAATAGCATAACATTTGCAGGAAAAAACGGAAAAATGAGAAAAAAGAAATTACTATTAGCGCCGTATCTGGGATTCGAACTCGCGTCGCGTAAGCCCATAACTCAAAACTTTGATTGATTTGTTTAGGATATTTGCGGGAAATTTAAATGGTGAAAATAGCTGTTTTAGGTGAAAAATAGCATAACATTTGCAGGAAAATTGAAAAAATTGAAAAAAAAGAAAGTTCAATTAGCGCCATTTCGGGGATTCGAACTCGCGTCGCGTAAGCCCATAACTCAAAAATTTGATTGATTTGTTTAGGATATTTGCGCGAAATTTATATGGTGAAAATAGCTGTTTTAGGTGAAAATAGCATAACATTTGCAGGAAAATTGTAAAAATGGAAAAAAAAGAAAGTTCAATTAGCGCCATATCTGGGATTCGAACTCGCGTCGCGTAAGCCCATAACTCAAAACTTTGATTGATTTGTTTAGGATATTTGCGGGAAATTTAAATGGTGAAAATAGCTGTTTTAGGTGAAAAATAGCATAACATTTGCAGGAAAATTGTAAAAATTGAAAAAAAAGAAAGTTCAATTAGCGCCATATCTGGGATTCGAACTCGCGTCGCGCAAGCCCATAACTCAAAAATTTGATTGATTTGTTTAGGATATTTGCGCGAAATTTAAATAGTGAAAATAGCTGTAAAGTGAAAAATAGCATAACATTTGCAGGAAAAAACGGAAAAATGAGAAAAAAAGAAATTACTATTAGCGCCGTATATGGGATTCGAACTCGCGTCGCGTAAGCCCATAACTCAAAACTTTGATTGATTTGTTTAGGATATTTGCGGGAAATTTAAATGGTGAAAATAGCTGTTTTAGGTGAAAAATAGCATAACATTTGCAGGAAAATTGTAAAAATGGAAAAAAAAGAAAGTTCAATTAGCGCCATGTCGGGGATTCGAACTCGCGTCGCGCAAGCCCATAACTCAAAACTTTGATTGATTTGTTTAGGATATTTGCGGGAAATTTAAATGGTGAAAATAGCTGTTTTAGGTGAAAAATAGCATAACATTTGCAGGAAAAAACGGAAAAATGAGAAAAAAAGAAATTACTATTAGCGCCGTATCTGGGATTCGAACTCGCGTCGCGTAAGCCCATAACTCAAAACTTTGATTGATTTGTTTAGGATATTTGCGGGAAATTTAAATGGTGAAAATAGCTGTTTTAGGTGAAAAATAGCATAACATTTGCAGGAAAATTGTAAAAATTGAAAAAAAGAAAGTTCAATTAGCGCCATATCTGGGATTCGAACTCGCGTCGCGTAAACCCATAACTCAAAACTTTGATTGATTTGTTTAGGATATTTGCGGGAAATTTAAATGGTGAAAATAGCTGTTTTAGATGAAAAATAGCATAACATTTGCAGGGAAATTGTAAAAATGGAAAAAAAAGAAAATACAATTAGCGCCATATCTGGGATTGGAACTCGCGTCACGTGATTCCATATCTCAAAACTTTGATTGATTTGTTTCGGATATTTGCGGGAAATTTAAATGGTGAAAATGGCTTTTTTCGGTGATTTAAGAGAGTGCTTTAAAATTCTCTTGGATTTTTGCAAAAATAACCGACCACGACGAGAGTCGAACTCGCAATCTTCTGATTCGAAGTCAGACGCCTTATCCATTAGGCCACGCGGCCGCTTCTTATGATGGAAAAATAAAGCATTAAGAAGAGGTTTTTCAGGAATTTAATGGATTTTTTGTATGACTTAGTTTAATTTGTGTATCTTGGACTAGAGTGTTTCAGGGCGAAATTCTAAGAAAAGGAACAAAATGGACAATTCCCACATTATCATTATCAACAGACAAGGAAATTTTAACCAAGTTCGGTAACCATGAGATGACGTCATAATCGCCCAACGTAAGCCTGTGTCTACAAAGAAAATGACACCATGCGGCCTCGCCTCGTAACGATAAGCGAACAGGGGTCCAGTTTACAGCGGAACTTCGCTACATGGGAAGGGACGGAAGATCCTCTCTAACCATAATTCCTGCTAATGAAGAAAAAAGCTCGTATAAAAAGATCACAGAGGAAGAAGAATCCTGCATCTTTTCGATTCGTTGGAAATCAAAAATTGACTGGTTAAGATTCAACGAATCATGCGAAGCTTTATGGTTAAAGTGAACCACTGTTCTAGGCCTATTTATTTATCGATTATGGGGATGTGGTTTAAAATATGGGAAATGGAGTGATACACTACTACCTACTACTACTATAACTGGCGTCGCTTCTTGTCCAATATCCAGACCTAAACTGGACTCCCCCCCGCCCCCCTGCGATGCGAAGTTTTAGATGGAATGGAATTCCTATTGCGAACAGTGCTTGGGATTCCTGTAGTTCGAAACATCATTCTGCCTGTGCGGAAAATCTCCATGGTCTAGTTTTTATGTCTCTACACCTTTCAAAATAGCTATCAGAGGCTAGGATAGAGGCAGCCGTTTTGGTCTAGGGTTTCCCTGTGATCAGCGCCAGCTTTAGTGTTGGCAAGGAGTTTGCAGAGGCCTCTAGTTGCCTACAAGAATAATTTGTAGAAAGTGGTCGAAATACTTTTGTCTTATATAAAAACCAATGTTTGACTTATTTGTATATGTATCACCAAGGCGATTACAAAACAAAAGAAGCAAATTCAATAGCCCTATATTGATTGGGAAATATTTATCTAAAACATGTCGAGTCATAAGTGAAATCTGGGTGGGTATGATCAGCCGCCCTCATCCCGTTGTCTTATCCCCTGTTTTCGCAGAGCTAAGAGTCAAAGGGATAGTTCTTCTGCCCCTAAGGGTTTCCCGGCTGTCCTAGCATTGAGGGATTTCAAACCCTTCTTATTTCTCTGTGTGGGGGTCCAGTGCGATGCATTTTGGGGGGAATGGGGATTTCATGTTCTAAGAGAGGGTACGGGGCATTTCATACCAACAGATATATCATCTTACGATCGTATCAGGGCTATATTTAACGTGATTTAAATACACAAAACAAATAATGCAATCTTATCAAAGTCCGAGGCCTTAATACAACAATGATAATGATAGACTCCCATTGGGTCGGAAATACGTCCATGAAACCGAAATGAAATGATTCTGTCTACCATTCAGCACTCACCCCCACCCCCTTTCATACCCCCTCCTTGTTGACTCTTATCAATCGTCGGACAGAGGATTAAATACATCCAAATACTGAATTGATTAGATGTGTTTCGGATAAGCAATCCCCAGCAATGCTCTTTATTAAAAGGTGGTAGCTATCTTTAAGGTTAAATCCACAAAAGCGTGATGCTTTTGATAATCTTTTACCTCTATCAAAATTGAGATAAGGAAAAATATTACAAATTTTGTGATCAAATCATCGAAAGATAATGCTTTTTAATTGAAGGCATACAAGGAAAACTTTATTATTTTGAAATTTGAAACAATTTTAGCGAAATTATTCGGTTATTTAATGGGCCTTCCTCTGTATTTATGAACAAAAGCTCGAAGTTGTTTTTCCTTTCTCAACAATCTGAAATAGTACGCCTTGTTTGAAGGGATCATAACTGGGTTTAATGTGCTTGTTTAGACATCACGTTACATTTTCTGGTAAAATCTCCCTTATTGGACACTGCATGGCGTTGTGCATTTTTCTATTGGGTCAATCAGGACTAAAAAAAGTAGGACGTAAAACTCCGTGGATAAAAGCAATCATCTGATTAAATAATAAACCCTACTGTTGCTGAAAATATTGCACAATATCATCTCGTTTGAACCTGTAATTTTCCATAACCAATCATTAGGCCTATAGTATTCTAAATAACATGTAGGCCTATACACTAGTGAAATGGATTTACAAATAATTTTCTAACGGTCGTGTTATATGGTTTATCTTTCGGGGATAGTAGCACTTTAAATGTTACGCAAATTGATAATGAAATAGGGAATTAGATAGAAACACCCCTAAAAAAACAAAGGAATATCCATTTCGAAATTTTAGAAATATTTAAACGTGTGTCTTAGTTTATTGTGTGTTGTTTGCCTTAGACTCTGTGGCAGTTTTTAATTGATTTAATTTATATATGAAGCAGTTATAAGGAAATAGAGAATTCTATAAGGTGAAGCCAAAATGATTTGGGAAATTCTGCCGATCTTGGCATCACTTTGTTTCCAAGGTAGGAGACCATTTTGTAAACAAATTGATTCTACATGCTCTAGATTCTATGTATGTATACAGTCAAACTTGTATAAAACAAGCGGTTGGGGAACGTTTTAACTAGCTGCCTACTGGGACAAGCGATATTTTAAGGCACACCTGAAAATTCTCCAAAGGCCTTTAGTTCGGCCTTCACGTAGGTCCTTAGCCAGACTTGATTGGGGGAGGCGGGGACGCGGGGAGGCGGGGGGGTTAAGTAATATTTTTGGAGGTGCAATGGTGTATAGTATTTGGTTTCAATTAGTCGGTTGTCATAATTTTTTTTCGGTGGGTGGGTGATGCACAAGCCAGTAGTAAAGTGGCAATATTCACCGATATTTTAATATAAATTGAAGGAATATAAGGATTAAGGATTACTTCTTTAACTGGCATTGATAGAAAAACTCAAAATTGCTTTAAAAAAATTAACAAAAACCATATCATGCTGAACATAAGGATTGAGGCAACAATTTTTGAGTGAGCAGTCTAGGGGATGGTAGACCGCTTTTACAATTGACATCAAATACGCGTTAGGTGGTATAAACATAACTGAAAACATAAAAAATCATATTTTTGTCAAATTAAGACACTATATTTGCATTGTCATTGTAGGATATGAGTCACTTCGTTTTTCCTCCTACCGAAGTTATTCAAGTTATCGGAGTTATCGGAGTTATTCAGGTTACAGATCTTATTATAATTACTACTACTATGGGAATTACTACTATAGTTCAGGCAGGTAGGATTACCTCCCCTAGTTGTATCAATTCTTCGCTCCTATTACCTGTATCTTAAGATAGACGCTTTCTAATAATTGTATTATATTATATTATCTTTAAAAAACGTACCCTCTTGCTTTCTATTATGTCTTTTGATTTATGGCGTTAAAGATGGGTTTCATTATTGTTTTAGTCTCAAATTAAGCAAACTATTTGATTAATTGGTGTTTCTCATGAATTATCAGGTATTCTTAATCATATCATTATGTTCTTATTGCATATAATTAAGAGTTTTAATCAATCATAAATGTCCATGTATGTCCTGTATAATAAAGAAAAAAAATTTTTTTTGACCTTTCTTGATCGGTCACTCATTGGAATTTTGCTGGTAATTCTGTTCTAATTTAGCTAATTATGAATTAATTATAGGTATGTGAGACAAACTGATATTTTTCCAAGTCATTAGAACACCTCTACTTTCTATTCATATAAGTATTAGCATTTTCATTATAATAAACGTAAATAAGGGAACCCATCTTTAAGTGATGTGTTGGGGTGATTTGATTCGGTGTGATATGTGTGATGTTTTTTTTGTGTTAAATGATATAGTGTGACTTTATGTAACGCGGTGTGATATGTGCGATTAGGTGTGATGTTTTTTGTGTTAAATGATGTAGTGTGACTTTATGTAATGCGGTGTGATATGTGCGATTAGGTGTGATGTTTTTTGTGTTAAATGATGTAGTGTGACTTTATGTAATGCGGTGTGATATGTGTGATTAGGTGTGATGTTATTTTGTGTTAAATGATGTAGTGTGACTTTATGTAATGCGGTGTGATATGTGTGATTAGGTGTGATGTTGTTTTGTGTTAAATGATGTAGTGTGACTTTATGTAATGCGATGTGATATGTGTGATTGGGTGTGATGTTATTTGGTGTGGTGTGATGAAGTATGGATTGATGTGATGTGATGGGGTGGTAATGTGTGATGCAATATGATTTTGTGTGATGTGTTTGTTTGATGTGTTATGTGACGGTGTGTAGATTTAAAAATGTTTTTATTTTTTAGTTTTGTTGGTGGAATCGTTAGTGGAATCATCATCCTGATAGTTCTGGTTGTTATAGCAGTAATATGGTGCTGTAAGAAAACTCAGGGTCGAGTTGGAACAGTTATCGTCCCTGCTAAAACCGGCACCGTCAGTTATATATCTAGTAGGTTTCAAAAAGTTTCTGTCCAAATAGCTATGATAGACCGCAGAGTAATGGGGCAAGTGAGGCTAATGCGAAACAGCGATCAAACTGGAGTTTTGATCAGTTATATATGATTACCATTCCTTGTCCTTTTTTTGATTGCAGTTGCTCAACAGCCTTGCTAATCGTGCCGAGCTCACAACCATATTGTATGAAGTATCAGTTCAAACTTAGTGTAACGTCTTCTGACTGAGTTGGAGAAAAGAGGCTGTCTCGGCTTTAGTTCCCATTTTCAAATCTCTCCATTTTGTGTATTTTTTGTGTTTGTTTGCAGGCCAACAGACAGTGACTCACCAAACACAGCAACGGCCAGGAGGATATGGGCCCCCACCGACAGGTTTCGCGCCAACACCAAACAGTTATGCTCCACCACCGTCAAGTTTCGCGCCACCTCCGACAGGATTCGCGCCACCACCGACAGGCTACGCGGCACCACCAACAGATTTCGATCTATATAATAACAAACAACCTGGTACTTCAACAGAACAACCGGGAGCACCACCGTCCTATGAAAGTGCAACAAGTACCAACAATCTGTCCAAACCCCAACCAGAAGTTACAAAGAACTCCAGTTAAAACAGAACAGCGACATACACCTATCCGTCGAACAAACTGATGTTATTACATCAAAGAGACACAAAATCCTTAACAATACAATATGCAAATTTTTCATTAAAAACGTTGTAATCTAAATTTCTGAAATGTATGTGGTTCTATGCATCTACTTTATCAATAAGAGGTGGTTTAAATAAGAATATTAGGCAGAACGGTAGCAATCACCAGTATGAAATATTCAACCTCAAGTTATACACATTTTTGAATACTTTGTGGGTTTTCAATAGAGTTCATTATTGGTTGATAAATTGTACCACCTTGTGTTAAAATCCATCAGAAATTCTACGAGCTAAAAAACAAGGTCATTAGCTCATATTTGATATTTTTTAATTAATGGTTTTTTATTTTTTTTTATTTTTTGTCATTTTCTGGGCCCTTTCTCTGTTATTATGAAGAAGTGCTTGAATTCACTATCTCTTTCTCTGCAATATAGAAAAGTCCGTCTTGTATGGTGACGTCATCACTATGTTAAGTTATAACAAGCTTGTACTTATACCGAGACTGTAATAGCCACCTTTCTTGTATCACAGAATTGTAAAAAATGCAGCCATTTGATTGGATGTACGCTAGTAAAAATAGCCAATCAGAACCCTCGAACAGAAAATCTGTTAACACTAATCTGTACTTACTTTCCGTCGAGGACTCTGATTAACTAAATTAGTTGACGATCAAATTAAATCGCTGAATTCCGTGATACAAGAATAGTGGCTATTGCAGTCAAGGTATGAGACGTACGTGAAAATAATACCAAAAAATTGGCTAAGGCTGCTAAATGTTCATTGTAAATAAAAGCAATTACCGATTTACAGATAACACAATAAGCATTATTGTTGTTAAAGAATTTCGCAATAATATGATCTGGCTTGAACTTTTAAACTTCCCTAATCGACCATTAGACCTGCAAGAATAATATTATTTTATTGTCGTATTTTTTTGGCTCATGATTCTTGGCGAAGTTGCACTTAAATGTTTTGCAAATAAGTATTATAATAGATAATAGATACGCACCTAAGAAAATATATATGTATATATATTCCATACGAATTTTTGATATTGCATTAGTGTTTATTTTTGCGTCTTGTGTGCTGTTTGCCTTATGATCTATGACATTTTATAACTGATTCTTATTTGTGTATGAGGAAAATAAATTGATTTTAAAGTGAAACCAAATGATTTGGGAAATTCTTTCAATCTTGGCATCACTTTGTTTCCAAGGTAGGAGTCGATTTTGTAAACAAATTGATTCAATAATACGCGCTCTAGATTCTAAACATGCATGCAGTCAAACTTGTGTTACAGGGACAGTATGCCAAATTGTTATTGTTAAAAACATTGTAAATTATACCTGAAAATATTTCTAAATTTGCTATTTACATTCGATCAACCTTCCAGCCTCTGATAGCTATTTTGATAGTTGTCAGGGGCTGGAATAGAGGCAGATGTTTCGGACTACATTAATGGATATCATAGTACTTTTTCAAAATTTTAGACCGAATTATTATTATTATTATTATTATTATCATTATTATTATTATTATTATTATTATTATTTGCTTTTGGGGAGGGTGGGGGAAGGTCAAATTCGGCATAAGGCTACATAATAACTAAATATAGTTTTATAATATATTTGCATTGTTATTGCAGGATATGAGGCACAGTTCGATAATGACCACGACGTTTCGGATTCCAGTCCAAGCAGGTAAGGTTTCCTCCCTTGTTTGCAATACTTCCTCCCCTTATTGCATGCATTTTAGGCTAGACGCTTTTTGTTATTTCTACTAGTTTTTATTACAAATCCGTGCAAACAGAACAATTCCAGTAACCAAAAAACTCGTCCAAGGCATGGCGAAATCGGGACCAATCGTAATATAGTGGACTCGGATGTTTCAAAAAAAGAAAGCATGAAGCCGATATTTATGTTTAAAGGTTTGCTACCTCTTATTGTGATTAAAGATTGAAATTTTGGTTAAAATGAGTCTTTGTTCATCAGTGGAATTACCTGGTGTCATGAGTTTAGAACAGAATCCTTCTATAATCCAATAAATCAATAAAACTAAGTAATAATTCATTAAACTAAGTAACTAAGCTTAGAAGCGTGTTTCAATATTCATTTAGTTTAATGGATATATCGTCTTATATAGGGATTCTATTCTTTAGTCATGTCACCTGTTAAGTTTAACTGATGAATATATACACTTGACCAAGTTTGAGACTTTAAAGTTTTTGTTCATTCTAAGAGGTAGTATCCTTTAATTCTTAATTTTATTTTTAGATATATTGGTGTTTTTGCTGGTATCTTTGGCGGAACTTTTATATTGTTTATTCTGTTGCAAATAATAATAATATGTTGCTGTAGTAAATGTAATGCTCGAAAGGAAAGAGTTGCGGCTCCTGATAGATCGGACAATGTCAGTTATATATCTGGTGAGTTGGTCGATGATTTTCAAAAAAGTTAGTGTTCAGTTTAAGTTTACCGCCAGGCTGGGGTACAAATAGGGAACCGACTGACTAAATGGGGGTATGTTGAGATTCAAAATGCGACATTCCAGTGAAAGCAAGTCCATTGAACTTTAGAGAGTTGACTTGGTGCATTCTGACACATTTTTTGGTGCAAAAACGTATAAAAATTATAGTTTGTTAAAAAGAGTGAGGGGACAATTTAGGAGGGGTAGGGGGGGGGGTGTCAAATGACGCGTCTGGGAGGGTTCTTCCGGGGCAAAAACGTAATCATATTTTTCACATTTCTTGTCAATTTTTTGTTTGCAGGGCAAGAGATGGCGACTTACCCACGACCAAGAGCGTATGTGCCCCCATCGACAGGTTTCGAGCCACCATCGATGGGTTTCGGGCTGCACCCAACGGGCTATTTGGCACCATCGACAGGATTCGGGCTCCAACCGACAGGATTCGATCTGTGTAATGACCAAGGACCAGGAATTTCTGAACAATCATACAAGAACCGGCAAGCTATTCCAGCAAGTTACTAAGAGCTCCAGTTAAAACAGTGCAACTACTCGCAGCTATCCGTCGATATAGTATATTAATAGTATTGCGTCAAAGAGACACAAAAATCCTTAAAAGGGCAGTATGCAAATTTTCCAACATAAAAAACGTGTATATATCTTTAAAATAAGATTATATTTAATCTGAATTTGTTTTCAAAAGGGGTATGCTAATTAATTGCACCCCATTGGAGTATTCATAAAGTTATCCATTCAAGTAATTGTTATCCATATTTATTATAGTAATTGTTATCCATATACATTAAAGTAATGAATTATTATCCTTATTCATTCAAATAATTGTTATCCATATAAACATTTTCACTTATTTGAATGTGCATATTGAAAATTTTTTGTTAGAAACCATTTTATTAATAAAACAGACTATATATACATTTTTCTTTGTAAAAAAAAACAACTCATCCTTATGCTAAGCTTAATACAACAATTAAACTACTTATTACTGTTCATGGAGCTGATAAAGCTAAATTGTGAAGGGGTACAATCGTCTATATATTTGCTTCACCAGCTAGTGCACAATTTCAGCTATCTGTATCACTTTTCAGATTAAATCTGACATCAGGTTCATAGTCATAAAACGTTTTTGTGTGCCTATCCCTAAGTAATGGCATATAGCAATCAACTCAAAATTTGACTTTTTACAACCGAAATTCAGACTAACTGATGAATACTGTTTTTGAAACATAATCTTTTTTTAACTTATGTTTTAAATAAAATTATCTTGGGCAGCATCTTTAAAACTATTATGAAAGAAGAGTTTTACATTCAACAGTATACATCATATTATAATTATTGAAACAAAATGTGTATACTTGTCCTCATTCTTAGCTCCTTCAATACAAAACTAGAATGAAATGGAGTTTTACTTCCTACTGCTATATGTCATACAAGCTTATTGAAACACCAATGTGTATATTCACAGCTCCTTTCATACAGACACCACAAACTTTTTGTCTTCTGCAAATTTATTTTTTATCCATCTTATTTGTCATAATGTGGTTTATAAGTCTTCATTTTTTCAATGACACTTTTGGTGAATTCAGGCGCCTCTACATTCTGTCCGTAATATTGTACAAAATTACCGTCTGGTCCCACTAAATAGGTGATAATAGTGTGGTCAACCTGAAAAATAGCAGACGCACAAAGTTTGATGAAATGAAATGGAGTTATATGTCCTTTGATTTTACAATACACAAATCTAAATTTCCAATTTAAAGGGGTTGTTTTAGGTTTAGAGAGCTTGTTTATGAGTAACGTACACATTTATTGCTTTTATTTGCATCATAACAATATGATTCCTGAAATTACATAACTATGACATAAGCTGTTAATGACAGGGCCTTTACAATAGTTATGTCTTAAAACGCTTAAAAAGCAAAAACCACAGATGTCTGATTGAAATTCGAAAGTTCCAAATTGATGCTATCAGTGTGCCAGATACATATAAAAAGTTTAGGAAATATCTTCTTACGATATAGTCACCATCTTCATCTAATGGTCCTTTACTATAATATACTCTGAATGCTTTACAGACGTTATCTATTTGATCTGATGTACCAGTGAAACCAATCACCTTCTGTGAAAATTCTGAAATAAGTTGAAATTTTGACAATTTGATGGGAAAATAGTGTCCACAAAAAACATATGTTCAATTAAAGGGGTGAAATTACAATAATTACTTTCGGAAATATATTTTTTGACAAGAATTTTTAAAAAGCTTTTATACTTTATAAATAATCCTGAAATCCTTTACTGACTTTTTGGACCACCCTATATAACTACCAAACCTCTAATACACAAGCCTAGCAACACAATAGAGCTTTTACCTTTTAAATATTCCTTCATAGCTCCTATAGTATCTCTATCAGGGTCTACTGTTATAAATAATGGTGTTAGATTCGGTACATTAGGATTATCATCTGAAAAACAAAAAGCGTGGTAGAGAAAATTTCTTGAATTGAGAGACACAAAGAAAAAGCATCAATTCACAGAATTTGCTTCAATTCAGTAATCAGGTGACACATAGTGCAAAAATTCCATGTCATGTTTGTATGAATCAAATAAATAGTACTGGCAAAAATGACTTTAGTCTTAGCATTTAGAATGTCATCCACAATAGCAGATATCACTACATCGCTTAAATATGTTTCTGACAAGAAACCCAGATCAGTCCATACCTATTTCATCTACTACTTCTGCTATTTTTTCTAATTCTTCTGGACAAATATCTGGACAGTGGGTGAAACCAAAATAAACTAATATCCATTTGCCATGGAAGTCTTTACTGGTTTTTAATTCTCCATTAAAATCAACTAGAGACCAAGGGCCACCAATAGCAGCTTTCCCAGATAATGCCTTCACCTCTTGTTTCACCATTTCTGAAATTCATTAGAAACAATGTGAAGCCTATTTGTCTACAGCTACAAAAATATCAAAATAATTTCCAATTAAAATATCAATAGCATTATCAGCTATGTGGACTCTCTGAAATTCCACTAATTCAACTAATCAAATCCTCAAGAAAGAAATTAGAACAGTCATTTCACTTACCAAGATTTTTTTTCTGATTTTTAACATAATTTACATAAAAAACAAACAAACTTCCAGCCCCAACTGCTACAAATAATGTCTTCCAAGATAACTGAAAAAAGGCATTATAATTTCAAGTTGAAAATAAGGTTTAAGTCCACTTTTTGCACTGCAGTGGGCATTAGGGCTAATGAAGAAATGCAAAGCCAATTTTTAATTTCCAACTGTTGAGGGATCTTACATGTGCATTGCTTGTGCACACGGCCTCAGTTTATTGTATGTCCTTCTGACCTGCATCAATGACAGGGAAATCTAGTTGAAAAATTCAAGAGTGTTATTATCTCGACCTATAGCGGAATTGAATTGTAGTCCTTCAGTTAAGCAAGCAAGCATTTAACTCCCTTATAGCTGAGCACAGATATGTTGAAATAGTTTCTAACACCTCTCTTAACGAAGCAAAAATTCCAATGAAAGTTCCTCTATGAGGGCTTACACAACACTATATAGGATATATGACTCACCCCTTCTTGCCGAATTTTCTTAGCTCCGCCAATGACATCTGGTCCTGGCTTTTTTTTGTTGGTTTCTCCTAAACTTTTGGATAATCTAAGTCCTCTTATCTGTGTAATTTTATTCTGTTAGAAACAAGAATTATAATACAATTTCTAACATTTTAAATGCAAACAAAATAAAATCTGAAGGAACTGTTTCATGGAGAGGGCTAAGAATTTGGTTGAATTTATGCCTGTTGGAAGTGTTATTCTTTTTACATAGCATAACTTATAGCTCCTGTTTGGATCCAGTGCCTCAGTTGAATAATTTTGTAAGGATTTTTTTGAAGGACATTTTTAAAATTGTTGTGTGAAAGGCATGCAGAGAAAACTTTATGTATTTTAAATGAATGTAATTGAAATGCATCTGATGCAACAGAAGAAGAAGAGCTTAAACTTGGGAGGACATCTAAAATCCTATGCCCATGCAATTGCAAAAGAGTTGTGTGCCTCTATTGGCTTCAGGTAAATATTGTCATCATTGCATAACTCTGCTTCAGAACATAGTCGGCGAGTGAGAACCGTCGCACATGGATGGAACAAACAAGACTACACACTCACTGTAGTTTTTGGTATATTCAGATAAACGCTACATGACCGACAAATAAATCTATTGAAAACTGACATCATTGTGCCAGATGCCAAATCTTTAATCGTCTAAGAAAAGGGAAAATAAATTTCGTCAGTTTCTCCAAAACATTGAACATTGCCAAGTAAAGAAAAGGTCAAGGTCAATAACATATGAGAGTTATCTCCCCATAGTCCGAAAACTCTTTTATAATAACGTGAATAAAAATGAATCCGAAATGTTCTCCTTCTCTTGCTCATGTATAATATTTTAATGTTTAATGGGATATCCATAATCGTAGCAAATCACAATTCAAATTATTGTGAGAAAATGCCCAAATACAAAGAAGCTGTTTACAAAAATAAATATAATTTGGGATTATTACACATGCAACGACAGAATGTAGTTATATGATAATACTAATATTTCTAAGGGCTTTCTGGCCTGTGCATTGCCCTATCTAACTCTCATGCATTCGTGTTTGTTTTGCATCACTTCATCTTATTTACATTATGTATATAAGGCAATTGAATAGATTCATCCCCCACGTCTCTTCAATCATGACTAACTACGTAAATATTTGCATTTCATAATCATTTAAAGATAATAATGGGCAATGATTAAGAGTGCTTCGATTATCCAGACTATCTACAAGCAATTTAATAGAATAAGAGATCACCTGTAGATCGGGACAACTTACCTGTAGTTTACCTTACCTGTCGTGACGTCATCTGCGATATGATTGGTGGACCAAAATAGCTAACCAATCAGATGACTCTGTCACCAGCGTTCAGGTGTAGTCTTGTCGCCATATTGTTTACATATTTGTTAAATCTCGTAAACTTTTCGTTTGTTTTAGGATAATATCAGTTTTCTGATCTGTTTGTTTATAAGATAAATAAGCGGTGTGATCAAAGGGATCTTCAGTAATTACTTTCAGGTGTTGAAAATATTTTTGGAATAGGATTAGGGGCTACGAACTACGGAACTTGTGAAAAATTCGATCCAGTTTCGAATCAGGAAGATGTCTTAAGTTTGAAATTTCCATGTGAACTTTTGATAAAATGTCTATGAAGAAAGATCGTCGTCGTGTTTTGGCAGCGATATGGGGCACGCCAACTCGGTACCACCTGGATTTTTTCGATGAGGGAGCGGAAGTGATCATCACCTGTAACACCCCAGAGGTTTCCAACTGGTGGCTCGAAACCCTAAAAAAGAAATACCCCTCTGTCAACTGTCTAGAGAAGAATGAAATTATTAAACTGAAGCCTATGACCAATGTCACTTTAAAATTGAATAAAGAAATTGGAATGCTCAAAGTAACAGGTATGTCAACTGCTATTATAGGCCTAAATAAGGGTAACGGTACCATAGGCCCCCTAGGGCATGATGTAGTGGTTTCACCCCATTTACAATTTCCACCCTAGTGATTTGCTCTATTTACAATTTCCACCCCAGGCCTTTTATCCATTTACAATTGCCCCTAGTGATGTCATCCATTTATAATTGCCACCCTAGTGATGTCATAGGCCTACATGGCCTATACAATTTCCATCCAGGCATATAGGCCTACAAATGGCTGAAATACTGTGGTGTGAATGCTTCGAGAGTATATCTCCATTAAAAATTGAACTGTACAAAAGTTTCCTTTGTAAATTTCAGGAAAGAACCATTGGCAATGGATAGTAGAATGTTTAGGAGATTTATTAGAAGAAGGATCCCTAGAAGAAACAGAAACAATGGTGTCCATGTCTTCCAATTCAGTGTCCAGATTTTTACAGCTGGATAAACTAGAAGAAGATGTAAGTATTACATTGAATTCTTCCTTCATTGCACACTGCATGACATTGCCTATCTAAAATTCATATTGCTCTTCAATAAATTTGTTGCTCATATTTCCAAATATTTTGCTGAAGGACAACATCTTTGACAGTACAAAAGTAGCTTTATCCTTAATTATTAATTTTTTCTTTTTCAGATTCAAGACTTATTAGATATGATACCAGATGGAGGGGGCATAATGACCCACGATTTTATAATGAAATTATGGAAGACATTACTAAATGATTGGTTTGGAGTTGGGGCTTGTGTTTATGTGGTGACCCCTAACATAGACTCAGAGCGCTTGTTTCAATGCATGTTGCTAATGATACGTAACAAAGGAACTGGATTTAAGTGCACCCTTATTACACCAGCAAGCCCTTTACATGGAGAAAAATTTGAAAAAATTTTGGAGAAAACCAAACGACGCATGAAAGAAGTGAAAACTCCACAGCATAAAAGACTATTGAGTGACGTTAAAATTCAGTGGGTTTTGGATTCTTTGGATGTGCGCCATGAAAACTTTTCGACGAATTTCGTAGCAGCGTATAAGAATGAAGAAGCAGAGGTTTTAACGACTACAGCACATTTTCATAAAACTCATTTTCATTTTAATCAAAGAGACAATGTTTGCTATAATCAACTGTCTACCAGCGATCTCAAACGCAACTATTTGTTTCCCCTTGGCATTGGTAGTAATGTTATTTAAATTTAAATATATTTCGTGGGGGCTATGCTCAAAATGGTTGCTAATATGCCAATCTTATTAAACTGTCGCTGTTGTGCCTGCATTAAGGTGAAGGCATTCGAAAAAAAATTGATAATCTTTTGATTTTATGGATTGGAATATTTTCATGAACTTTAGGATTACTGTAAAATTGTTATTCCTGGTTATTCAAATTCTTTTTATATTTTGGATCCAATTACTATTAGCCTATACTCTTCCTGATCAAGGCATTAAATTGATCTCAAAGATTTTCACATCACGAATTTTCAGAAAGAGCTCAAAGTTTCACCTGGGCTGAAGAAGTTCACCTGGAATTAGTATCATAAAGTTTCAGAAAGAGCTCAAAAAGTTTCACCTGGAGCACCTTGAGTTCACCTGGAGCTCACAGAGTTTCATAGAGTTTCTCAAAGAACTCAGAGGGTTTCATAAAGAGTTCAATAAGTATCAGAGTCAGCTCAGAGTGTCACAAGGAGCTCTGAGAGTTTCATTAGGAGCTCAAAGGTTTTCAGAAGGGACCGAACAAATTCCTTTGATTGCCAAATATATGTAATATGTGTTGTATATGCCACTAAAATGCTCAGATATAACAAAATCATTTCAGTATAATCATCATATTACTAATATATCAGATGGGCATTTTTTAAAATTTATTACAGTAAAATAGTCATCTAATTATTAAGTATTAAGGGGTAAAAGAAGAGAAGGCTGATATCAGAGGCACAGGGACTATCATCAAAATACCTTGAGAGTTCAAACCCACTGTTATCAGTTCAATAGTAGATGCCCCAAGCAATGGATTTACATTCTGTAAAGTGATACAGGTCGCAAAAATTCATCTTCATCAGCCGATAAAGCTAATAATTAGATGCCTATATTCCTTTAAAAGATAAATAATTAGCAATGGATATATTAGAAAAAAGAATTCCCTTATAAATTCTACCTCTGCATTATAAAATAGCCTGTAGGAATTGATATTTTAGTTGTGGAAATATAGAAATGTCTTTGCAAGTGACCTGCCGTATTTCCAGGTTAGAAAAATTGTCATATCATTTTTCATGATGGAGAAAACAGTTTATTTTTTAAAAATTATGTGAATATTTTTCAGGAGAAGACTGATTTTGTATCATAATATATATTCAATCTTAAAAGGAATTCCTTAAATTTTATTCGGTAATATTTAACAACATTCCATTTTTAATAAAACTAATATTTCCCCCTATTGTATAATATGTCTATGTATATTTGTAATTCTGTTTTGTGGAGAAATTGTTATATTTAACCGTTGAAAACTATCCTATATATTCCTAATAAAATATATCAAAATCTCTCTCGAGTCATTTATGAAAGGGATTGTCAAGAGGTTTCTTACACTTTTATTAATATCCGGGACACTGATAGCATCAATTTTCACTGTTCTAATTTTAAGTCCAAACAGTCCTGACTGAAAATAGGAATGGTGCAAATTGATGGTGTCCCCAGCTGTTTTGGTAGAATTGGTTTTGTAGAGTTTCCCTAACAAGATAAGCGGCAGAAAATAGGATATGGTCCTTTCATTTCAATTGTCAAAAATTAAAACAAAAAAAAAAGTCCTTGAGTTTAAATGTATGTGGCATTAAGTCAAGTTTTTGGTAGTCAAAAGTCAAATCTAATAGCTAATACTATCAAATGAAAAGACCGATGTACATTGAATGTTCTATTTAGAAGTAAATTCACTTATTTACAAAGCTGATAATATTATACACTTATTTACAAAATGTTTAAATAAATTCACAAACAATAAACATGACTTATATATATATATATATATAGATATTTACATTAAATATTATACATGCTTAATAATACAAAAGCAGATAATATACACAAGTATACAAATACATACTTAAAAACAATCATGCTTTATAATAAAATTGCACCAAGTTTTTTGTAAATTAGCATCAATAAGTCGCCTTCTTGTATACAAATTAAATAGCCTTTTCGATAACAAATTTTAATGAGATTTATAAACATTGTTGTAGTTTGCAAATTTTGACCCGAAAAACTGGAATTACAAATTTAAAGAATGAAAATTTGGAATTAAAATTGTTATTAATGGATAACAAATTTTGATACAAAATTTTGAATTACACATATTGTCCATTGGCCTACACAAATATTGAAAATTATTAAATAACTTATTTAATAATAGTAAGGTAACAATTGTTATTGGTAATTTGAAAATTTAAATAACAGGATAACAACTTTTGATCCAAAAAATTCAAATTAACTTCTATTCAGAGAGAGAAAATCGAAAATCATTGAGTAACAAATCTCAGTAAATGGATAACAGATTTGGATCCATTCAATAACATTAAAATCTATAGGTCAAAATTTAGAAACTTTTTGACCAGCTAGAGTTTAGTTTGCTGTTAACATGACTACATCAGCCATGTTTAAAATCTCACACCAGAAAAGAAGAAAATAACTTTTCCTTACAAATGAAAACATGTCTTTAAAACAGGAAAACATTTTTAATCTTTTAACTTAAAGGTCAATAGGTCAGAAGAATTATTTTGAAAAGTCAATATAGTAGGACAATGTTTCATCGCATACAGACATTTTAATGAAGTGTGCAATAAGGTAAATTTTGCAGCAGCATATGACAGAAAAGATCTCGATTCACTGTCCAATCCAAACCTGTAAGAGAAAAGACTTCAATTTCCCATCCCAATGACTAGACTGCAAAGGCAAAACCAGGTTAGACACACCCAAAAGTATTATCTTGGCCCATTTTACTGAGTATACATGCCAGTGGAGGAGCCAGGTTTAAGTCTGAGGGAGGAGGGTGAAATATCTGAGTTTGCCTAACCTAGTTATGAGATTTTTCCCCCCAAAACTTGCTTTCGGGTCTGAGAGGGGGGCGACTGCCCCCTCTGCTCCCTTCCCTTTGGCTCTGCTACTGATACATGCCTAATACATTTAGTTCAAAAGCTTTAAAATATTCTATTGAATCAAAACATAACTGGACTGTAACTGTTCCAAATGACTGACCACCCAAAAAGGTATACATAATAAGGAATACATAATCATTCATTCTTTCTTTCTAACTGTGAAATAAATATATAACACTATGTACATCATTATCACTCAACCAGTGCATTCAGTTTAACATCCATTCAGATATTTCATTAAAGGGATACACTCGTGTAATTATAACACTTGATAAAACTTCTATTCAATTTCTTGAACAGAGAGACACAAGAATAACAACTTGAGTTCACAAGGATCCGTCTTCCAGCTGGTCCTCGACATGGATCTTTTAGATTGATCGACTAGATTCAAGGACACAGGACCAGATGACTGAGATGAGAACATACGACCACAATTTACCAAAATCTTATAAAGTAAATTAGATAGTGCAAAACTATGCTAGCATCGTCCCCGATACACATAAATAGTTTCCAAAAATTCAAGTGAAATTATATGACTATATTGTAAAGAGGTTTTTGAAAGTATTTATGTGTATCTGGGACACAGATGGCATCAATTTGCACAATTCCAACTGGACATATGCTTAATTCTAGAGTTGAGTATTAAAGCGTATTTAGACGACAGTATCCCTTTAATACCTATATTATATACACACTAAAATACAGTATGAGACACAGTGCATCAGAAGATAAAACCGCCTCAATGAATCTGATAAAATATACAAGACACAATCAAATAAAACGACCTTGATCTCTAAATGTCCTTGAACTTGTATCATCACAGCAGCAGATCTAGGAATGAGGCTAAAAACAAATGAGAAAGACACAGTAGATAAAAACGTCACCTTTCAAATACTTTACAGTTCATTTCTTGGCTTTTACTGACCTATTTGACCATATGTGGCTTGACCAATAGTGAGTTGGAATCAAGGTCATAGATATACACTGATTGAGATAAGAACACACAACCACCATTTGTTTGATATAACCAAGCAAATGATGTCATGTAAATAATTCAACTCTCTGACTCACTGAGCTTCAGCCTGCCTGGTTTCAACCAAAACCCACTCAAGCCAGTACAGTGGGATAGCTTTTGACCTCCGAGTCAGAGCGAAGGGAGTTGGATTGTCTCCTAGATCTTAAGATGGTCTAGGTCTAACCAAAACCCACTCAAAGCAGAACAGTGAGATGGTTTTTGAATTAATGAAAAACATGTCGGTAAAAGCCAAGAAATGAAGAAAATAACAATGCACCAATCTAAAAAAAGATCATCGTAAAACCTTGTCAATTTTCTTCTCAGATAAATAATACAATTATCAAAATAATATATACACATATATTTACAATTATTTCCTTTGTATAAGCTATATTTTGTTCTGCATGGAACTTGTAATAAAGCCTGGTCTTATAAATGGCAGCAATTTTCAGCAAAAAAGTGCTTAAGTCTTGCAAAATTCTTGTTTCAGGTTCCATGCACGAGTATACAAATGTATTTGTATCTATCAATAATTTTCAGACTTAAAGATTTCAAGTTTATCACAAAAAAGCAGCTTCACCTCAAAAGGAAAAAAGAATGAAATTCCCCAAAAAAGCACTGGCCTTGGTCATGGATTGAAAAGAGATTAAGAGTGGTGTTAGTTCCAATAAGTAAACACAGTCCTGACTCTTAACTGATTTACCACATTGTTAATTGATGTACCACACTGTACCACAATGTAAATTGATGTGCCACAATGCAAATTGATGTGCCACATTGTAAATTGATGTACCACACTGTACCATTCTGTAAATTGATGTACCACACTGTACCATTCTGTAAATTGATGTACCACACTGTACCATACTGTAAAATGATGTACCACACTCTACCATTCTGTAACTTGATATATCACACTGTACCACTCTGTAAATTGATGTATCACTTTATACCACTGTCAAGTCAACATTGTGCATCAATGTACATAATGTAAACTCTGCACACTACATCAATGTACATGTCAGGAGTCAGGAAGTCCATGTGTACACTACATCAATGTACATGTCAGCAAGTCCATCTACACACAGTACATCAAGCTGTACCTGTCTTCAACCCACTATATAAAGTATATTAGTATTTGGAGAGTAATTTCAATAGATAAATGACTTAGATTCTAGTAATTGGGGAATAAAACTCGAGTTGTACACTAGCGTAGTCAGTAATCGCCTGCGTGAATAAAGTTAAACTGTAGAAACTGAGAGTTTATGGGAGTTTTAGGTGAAGGACACATATAGCGATAGTCCAGATCGAAGGAATCCGTCCTGTGTATTGCCGGTTCAGATTTACTGCGTTTTATCTTTGGTATACTACTGTATAAAGATTCTAATGATGCAAGAAGCTGAAAAGAAATAAAGTGGAGTTTTACACCCTTAATTTGAATATTTTTGGTAGTTAATTGCAATGCAGCGTGAAATGAAATGAAAATCAACTGTGTGGAAATTTAACTTAATGCAGTGTGGAATGAGGTAAATTTCCCCAGAATAGCAGCATTAGCCTATTATTGAGATATCTTTTACATAGACTGCAGCACACAGGGCCTTGATTCATTGTCCCACCTGTTCACTGGCAGGTTCAAATTAACATATACTTGCACTAAAAATAAAAATGTCCGTAGCAAAATAACGCAGAAATAAAAGGTTTTAAGGTCAAAAAGATGGCTACCATACCTGTTGAAACAATGGTCTATTCTCCCATTCATATTGACATGAGTCTAACATGTGACGTTTAAATGCTTTAGGTGTATCAGATCTAGCCTTATTGACATCTGGTCTTAAATAACCTTTACCAACCATAAATAAGATCTAAAATAGAACAAAGTTATATATAACATAAATATCCTTTCTAAAATAGAACACAGTTATACCTTTCATTTAATTTTGAACGGACAGTCAGGGCGATGGTAAGATTATGCAAATTTATGGGGGTGGAGGTTGTTGTCAAAAACTTGACTTACCTGGTCCTTATTGCTGATATTACTATAAGGCAATTCTCCAGTCATGAGTTCATATAACACAATACCAAATGCATAAACATCAGATTGAAATGTGTAGGGATTATGTTCTTTCATACGAATTACCTCAGGAGCCTACAAATAAAAAAAAAACGAAATCAAGGTTTACATTTTGTTTTCTGACAGTAACTTATTAAGAAAAGGACTGAAAATTTGCCAGACTTGTAGCATGGACAATCTGTATGCATTAGGCAGGGACTTGGTTTCTAATTCTATCCAAGGGATAGGCCTCTCAAATGTACATCACTGACAGAGGAAAAATAAAAACATGATGTTTTTTCTAGACGCTCTTTCCATGTATTGTAAACAGATAGAACTGGCTTAGAAAAATTCATTGATTACTGCCAATGCTTGGATAGTACATTAAGTCACAAGCCTCTCTGACTGTCTTTGAAGATTCTAGTATTAAATACAACACTCACCATCCAGAGTATAGAACCAGTTGGTTGTTGAAATTGATGAGATCCACTCCATCTTGTTTTTACCGTAGCCAGACCGAAATCTCCAATCTTGACAGTCATATTATCAGATAATACCTCCGTTAAAAATATATCTTATATTGGTTAAAGATATCAGAATAATGACCTGACGATTTGTATATATTGTCATTAATCTTACTACACCATTGAAGATGGACATCAAGTGTACAATGAGGGAAATTTTGACAAAAAGAACCATGTTTTCAGTGTAATAAATACCTAAGTAGAAACCACAGTTTAAAATATAAAATTTGTAGATATTGAATGGAAACTGCACATTACTTTAATGCACTGGCTATTTGTACCGTCAATCTGGCAGATTTTATAGAAAAGGATACTATTTGACTTTAAATCTCTGTGTATGATATTTTTCGCATGAAGATAACTGAAATAAAAGAGAAGGCATACAAAACTGCAAAATCAAAAACTAAATTCTGTGGTTCCAGCAATTGAAAAATTCATGACTAGATTATGATATCACTATCACAAATGTCAAGTGAGTCTAGAGTTTTTGGGATAGTGGCATTATATCAAGGCAAGTTTTTCTGGAATTACAGGATCAGAGTCCTCAAATGGGACATCAGAATAATTCAAATGTAACCTTTTAGTGTACCTGATACACAAACACGGATGAAAACACTGTTTTACAATCTCTTTCAGGCCTTAACCCTTTCAACCCTAGCAGCCAGTTTACCGTCCACACACTAACGCAACATATACCCAAGCAGACCCAAGCAGACGGTATACCAGCTGTTACTAAGTGACATCATACAACGTTAACATCATACACTTTTACTTTTATTACTAAGAGTTCAGGGTATATGACAGTATATTTCATTTACACTCAGGAATCAAAGGGTTCAAAGACACAAAATCAAAAAATCTAAGATCACGGTAAACAAGTAAATAAGAAACTTACTCCATGCCCTGTGCTGACTGTTTAGCAATCATTATAATCTGATCCATTCTAAATTTAGTATCTTTAACGTGTAAATGTTGGTACAGACTGTGTCCATCACACCATTGAGTGACAATTTCAAGATGAGGCTTCGACACACATCCCATAAACAGCAATATATTCACGTGACGTGTCTTTCTGTAAATAAAATGTTAATGTAATGTAATTTTCTGCTGTGGGTACGTACATAAAATGTCCTTTAAATAAATAAGAACATCATTATGGATCTAGCCACCAGTGACTTCAACCAACGTAATCTCTAAACTAGCCAGTGACTTCAACCACCCTAATCTCTAATCTAGCCAGTGCCTTCAACCACCCTAATCTCTAATCTAGCCAGTGCCTTCAACCACCCTAATCTCTAATCTAGCCAGTGCCTTCAACCACCCTAATCTCTAATCTAGCCAGTTCTCAACCACCCTAATCTCTAATCTAGCCCTTGCCTTCAACCACCCTAATCTCTTTGAGCATCTCTTTCCCAACCAACAACACTGGCAAGAGAAAACAACTTGAGCCAACTTTAGCGCTCCTGGAAAGCAAGGAACCAAGCTAAAGTCACTAAGGCTCTCATAATTCAAAACAAGAAATGTTTACTAGCAACTGACCTTAACACAGCAACTTCATTTTTAAAAGCTTGTAGTTGAGCTGGAGTAGGATCTATAACATTTAATTTTTTAATGGCCACTGGTCCATGCCAATGTCCTTTAAATACAGTTCCAAATGATCCTGAACCTATTCTATCACCAAGTTCTATTTCATCATTAGATATTTCCCAATCATCATTGGAATCACGACGAGCTCTCTAAAATAAAAGATAAAGTAAATTCAAACAATCAGTAACCAATCTTCATTGAAATCACGGCAAGCTCTCTAAAATAAAGATTAAAAAAACTTTAATTTTAATATAGTAACCAATTATCATTTCAAATATGACAAGCTCTCTAAAATTAAAGATTTTTTTCTATTTGTATACAATTAGGCACTTTCGTTAATCAAAGGATCCACAAACATCTGACAGAATATTGAAATGATGCAAATGGAAGCCATAAACAACCCATTCACAATCTATAAAGCTACTGAAATTCCAGGAGATTTCACCTACCCTTTTGCCTGGTTCTGTTTCAACAGATTTTGCTCTAGGTCGCACAAGTTTAGAAGAACTAGTTGGTGAACTTTGGGCTGATTTAGTTGGACTTCCGCTTGGACTAGAATAATTTAGGGGTAATTTCAGAGTATTGGAACTGCCGGCTGAAAAATATCACAATAAAACACATGAATAACTGAATAAATTGCATGGTCAGTTAAATGGACACAGAACAAAGATTTGGACATTGGACTTCAGGCAACGTATACTCGAAACGCTCTCAGCGCTAGGATGTCCTAGAATTAATGTTAGAAAATAAGAACCTTGGACATCTTAGCGCTAAGATCATTTCGAGAATATGGGGTCAAGGACTGCTATATATTAGATTTAGATTCTATTTCTATATATTTTGATGAAATTATTTGAATATGCCAGGATTCGTGAAAAACAAGGCGAATTTCAAATTTTTTGCAAAACCAGTAAAATCATCCTCAATGAAAATCTTTAGAATTATTTTGAAATTTCCTTTAAAAATACATTTTCCAATTGCTTTCATTCTGTTCTTTTCTCAGATCAACTTGATTTAATAGGTTCTGAATGATTGAAAATGACATAAAATTCAATTGGCAAAATTGTAACCACTGAGGTCAAAGTGACAAAATATCGCGTCAATATAGAAGTCCACTTCAAAAGGCCTTAAATCCCTTTAAAATTGCTGCAGATCTAACAGCAACAACAGCTCTACCAGCAACATAATTACGTGAATTAAAACCCAAGCAGATGTTATTCTATTCACACTCAGTGATCAAAAGGCGAAAGATGGGTTCCCTTTTTTCATTTATGAAAATAAAAATGCTAATACTTATATGAATAGAAAATAGATGTGTTCTAATGACATGGAAAAATACCAGTTTGTCTCACATGTCCATAATTAATTCATAATTACGTAAATTAGAAGAGAATTACCAGCAGAATCCCAATGAGTGACTTATCAAGAAAGGTCAAAAAGTCTTTTTTGTTTATCCAGACTGTACATACATGGACATTTATGATTGGTTAAAACTCTTAATTATATGCAATATGAACATGATGATATGATTAGGAATACATGATAATTCATTAGAAACACTAATTAATCAAATAGTTTGCTTAATTTGACACTAAAATATAAGGAAACCCATCTTTAAAGATGAAATTCAAGGACTTTCCAAAAACGTCAAACAATTCATTCATTAAAACATCAAACAATTTCTTCACTGCAATCTCATGCTGGTTTAAAAGATGCTTGCATACAAATGGTCTAATCCAAGATTCGGCATAAAATATGATCAAAATTTGAGGAAAATGCTGTCAGAACGACATGACATATTCCTAATCCCTGAAGCTTCAGCAATCATCAAATGAAATGGAGTTTTACGTCCTGTACTTTTCTGCACCATGTGGGCTAACCAAGAAGGGCAACGCCATGCACGGTGCAACGAGAGAAATTTTGCCAGGGCAGTAGCATTAGCTGGCTCTTTTTCCGATTTCCAACTGTCGAGGGATCTTTAACGTGCAAAACCTGTAGCACCCTGTATAACAGTTTTAAGCTCTAGTACCTTGAGCTTTTGCTAACATGAAAATTGGAGCTTAAGCTAATAGATTTGAAAAACTTTGCTTAATATTTGTAACAGTCTAAAGCACTGTGAAAGAAAAGTTAATAAAAACAAGGAAAGATTCTAAAATCACACACAAGAATTTCAACATCTAGAGTTAGACAGAGGGAGGCAACTCTAGTTAAGAAAGAATACCTTTATTAGGTAAAGGTTTCGAGGCCACACTGTCACTAGCGTGTCTCTTGCCCTTATATAAATGGCGGTAGTGGGGATCTGAAATATCAAGTTCTCCTTTCAATCTTAAATATTTATCAAAGGACTGATTGATTTTGTCTATGACATGGGACTGGATGACACTGACTTATCAACTTGAATATACTGACATAGGTGGCGCTCAATTGGAGAGTCCTGATCAGGTTCCGTCCGTTCCAATTCTGTCCCTAATTGACTGGTACAAAAGCGGATGTCACATTCAAAATTTTCACATTGATTTCTTTTTCAGTCATTTTGAAAGCAGTCCGCACCAACTATTTTTTCAGCCCAAGTGGAATATGTTTTGAGCTCTGTTTCAACTTGTTTTATTGAACGTTCTGTTGATTTCATGAATCAGGAACGAGCAGATCTCACCAATCGAGCGCACCCTTAGTTACAGAATTACATAACATACTTTAGAAAGAAATATAGCCGATTAACAAACTTGTTACTCTATAATACAACTATATAACCATTATAAAGTTATTTATATCCATAGCAATATCCATTATATACAATTCATATTCATAACAATATCTTATACATCAATTTGTTATTTTACTACATTTGTTATTAGTTATACAATAACAATCAATTTCTACTGATTATAAGTTACGTGTATTACTGACTATGGCTTAGTTTCTGTGCAGATTACAACAGATTTGAGTACTAAACGATAACAAAATAACAAGATATAATAATACTTACTGTCCTTTCCTTGTAAATGGAGGAATCTTCTGTTGAATTCCTGAAAAATAAAAAGGTATCCATGGAAACATGAGTGTGACTGAATTAAATGGAAATGTCCAAACTACATGCATCTAACAGATCTGAAAAGTCTTGGTTCCCCTATGAATATGACCTAATTTTCCATATTTTCTTTGATCTATGTCTACTTTTCATGCCCCCCCCCCCCCACCCTTCAAAAATAAAATCACCTTTCTAGTTAGCAAGACAAAGACACCTTGATACAAAGAGCTTACCTGATCTGATAAACCACCATTTTCGACCAGATTGTGACAGACGTTAGGTGCAGACGTGGATCTCTCTCTCTGGCCTAATTGAGGCGCTGGTTGACGACTACGATGTCGAACTCGCGGAGATGTTGTCGAGGGTCTGTTTGATGTTGAACTTTCTGTTAAATATCTGGAAATAAAAATGATCGATATTTAAAATTGGGCTTTTCTACACCTCATAGGCAGCATCAGGCAGTTTTTTGATTTTTTTCGATAGTTTTTATTGGAATATCAGCCTAAATACTACTGATAGTCTTAGAATGTCTTTGTGTTGATAAAATATAATCTTTTGTATGTTTACATTGATAAGAAACTCGTTTTACTCCTAGAAATTTCAACCCCAAAAAGCCAAATTTGAACTGAAAATGGGCCTCTGTAAAAACAAATTTTAAAGACTTAATGTGTGTTTATGTTTATATCAAAACAAAGACATTTTAAGACTATCAGTACTATTTTGAGGCTGCTATTTCCATTCTCATAAAAATAATAGAAACAATTCAAAATTTTTTTACTTTGCTCGCACAATAGAAACTTACTGTCGTATTTGTTCTCGACTGTTTTGTTGCCGTTGTCTAAAATAGTCGTCTAAATCGCCTTGACAATTTCTTGGTATCTTATCTTCACAGCGTTGATGATATTTGATACCACAGGTCTGACACCGTATCCCTTGAAATAATAAACTATGGCACATATCACAGAATGTAATTGAGAAAAATGTCTTTCGACCCTGAAAAAATAAAAACGAAAGGTGAAATAGACATGGATCCAAAATTTTCAAGTAATTTGTTGCAACTACCTGTATCCCTTTTAAGAATGACATTTCAGCATAAGGTATTTTCTATAGACTCTATTCAATATGATTTTTTTAGTCTACATTATTTTTTATTAAAAAGAAGAAATTAAGCAGCATTCTTCGTAATTCATTTCGAGCAACCAATCAAAATTAATTGACAATATGATGTCCATGAAACCTACATAATATGATCAGACCCCTAGATGTGCCCGAAAGTCCTCTCGTTGCAAATGACAACACTGAGCTATAAGGAAATCATAGTAAAATTACTTACACAATTATGTTGTAAAACAACAGCACGAGACATAGATCTGTTCCTTCCCTCTTCACCAATCAGTTCAACTGAGACTTCTTGACCAGCTAGTTCAGCCATATCTGTATTCCACGTCAGAGGAATTCTGAAAGACCAACAACCCCCATCATGATCTCTAGGAAAAGCCCTTTATGATCCAATGAAATATACCAAAAATAAAGTGTTGTCACTCTACACTTGATGTACTTTCAGAGAGTCCACATAGTTTAATTACCTAATAATGATATCCAATATTTTGAAAAAAAAAAATGTTATGGTCAAAAGGTAAAAAAATTTTTGCTCAAGATATTTCAAATTGAAACTTTCCCCAAAAATGTGCACGAACTTACCTTGTACCCTGTCTGAAGACTTGACAATCATTATAACATAACTGTCTACGTTTCATTGGTTTAGTTAACCCCTCTCGTAACGTTATACCAGGAGTTGCTATCACCTACAATTATACATAATTAGTGTTAAAGGGACAGGTAGTCCCAGAAACTAGAATTTTTTAGCTGAGCTAATCAGTAATAGTGTTCTCAGCTGACCCTCGAAATTTGAGCAGTGTGTGTCCAGAATTATCTGCGTTAAAATGATGACTCATCATACGTGTATTGTAGCATGTCGTATATCGCGATACATCAATTCCCCGATAAATCATGTCAGCACTTATACTTACTGTAGTAACCATATCACTTGGTAAGAATGCTCGAACTATAGCACCAGGAGAACGTAAGGGAAGCTGTGGACTCCGCTGTCCAGCTGGTAAATTCTGTAGATTAGTTGAACTAGTGTTGGGTGTAATCGGAGGTCCTGGCGACCGAGCAGGTTCTTCTTTCATTTGTAGTGGACTAGGAGGTGGTGAAGCTCGACCTATGCTCATCTGTTCTAATAACTTCTGTTCTGTAAGCTGATACTCGTGAATTTTATTAGCCAGTTCTTCATATTCCTAAAAGAAATGAAACAGTTATAGGTTTTCCTTCATGATTATGATTTGGCAAATGAAATATTTTCAACTCCCCAAAGTGTCCAAGGAGAGAAATCTTACAAGGACAGAAGCATTTACAAGAAATGAAACACTCTGAGTTGGATATGGGTTTGTTGCAGCACAGGGTGTCTGTTTAATTTCTCATGTCCATACCTTCTACTTGGTAAGGATTAGACCAGACATATCTTAGCCATTTTCATGAGCAGGACACTGTGACATCGGTTTCTTTGAGAAGAAAAACCCTACAGAAATAATTTACCTGAAGATATAAGGGAGGCGGATGCTGATGTTTTCCGAATTCTGCATTCATCTCTTCTAATTTTAGTCGGGTCACTTTGATAAGTGTGCGTATATTTTCAATCTGAAAAAAATACATTTTTTCACTAATATTATCCATAAAATTTAAATTCAACAATGTAGAATGTCCCATTGCCAACACATGATTAATGTCCCATGTGCCAAGACATGATTGATGTCCCTTTTGCCAACAATGTGGAATTTTGTCCTATTTGCCAACACATGATTAATGTCCCAAGTGCCAAGACATGATTGATGTCCCTTTTGCCAACACATGATTAATGTCCCTTTTGCCAACACATGATTGATGTCCCATTGCCAACACATGATTGATGTCCCTTTCGCCAACACATGATTGATGTCTCATTGCCAAGACATGATTGATGTCCCTTTTGCCAACACATGATTGATGTCCCTATTGCCAACAATGTGGAATTTTGTCCTATTTGCCAGGACATGATTAATGTCCCAAGTGCCAAGACATGATTGATGTCCCTTTTGTCAAGACATGATTAATGTCCCTTTTGCCAAGACATGATTAATGTCCCTTTTGCCAAGACATGATTAATGTCCCAAGTGCCAAGACATGATTAATGTCCCTTTTGCCAACACATGACTAATGTCCAAAGTGCCAAACCATGATGGTGAAATATATTTGAAAATATATGGATTTTCTACAAGTTATTTTAATTTAAAAGCTTTTAAAGTTTTTGAGACAAAATTGAGAGGATAAAATTCATTTCAGAAGTTGATCTCAGATTGTCAAATAACGTCATTTCCAAAAATGTATTTTCCCCAAACAAGTTTAAATAGTTTTAGTTAAAAATTGGTCACAATAGTTCATGACAACCTTTCGTAGTCAGATTCTGATCGCTTACATAGATTTAATAATGGAGATAAGTTTGTTCTGTGTAGATTAGTCAGAAGTGTTTGTGAACAAGGCTCCACCTTTTCTATTTCATCATCTAATAAGTTTACCATTCTTAAAAAATGTATACCTTAAATTTTTGATGACTTCAATGGAGAAGGGGAGATGACCACTGTATGCTTTGATAAATTTAATTTGTATCATAATGTATCCTGGCCATAGGGGTTGAATCAAAATTATAATTCTGGGACATTACCAGAAATATTTTACTATACTATCTAATACTAATAGGCCTACAGGAGTTCATGGTTTCTATTCATATTTTCATCTTTCTAATTAAAGAGAATGACCTCATGTCATATGGAACCCTGATCCATGACAATAACATACCAAGGCATATTGGACAGAATATTACATAACTCAAAAATAAACAACTGAATAGTCAACAACAGCACTCAAATTAAGTTATGATTCATTCAATTCACCAAATTGTCATTGTTATGATGAACCATGTTTGTTTTTTATTATATTATTGACATACTTGTGTTCTTAACATCTGGGTAGTTCAAAGAATCTACAGGAATAACAAAATGATACGACTGACTCGCACCGTACTTTCAGGAGGACTGTCTGACTTTAATTCCATTCTTTTGATTGGATGGAACCTATTTTGATGACAATAATTTACAGGTATCAATGCGAAATTTCACCCGCTCGGAGACGTCCGTCGTTTTGCAAATTTCGCACATATCTAAAACGAACATCTCACCTCGTCTTGAAGGTTTGTGGAGACAAATGGGTCGTCATCTCGAGGACCTATGCTAAAATTTGTTATATCCCCGTTCATTGTGGGCCTTTCCACAACCGCCATATTATCTTCTTTGCGCAAGTCCGTCACGTGACATGAATTATCTCCTTTTCTCGCGTTGTCCTATGAGAGCTCGTAAATGCTAGAACTATTTCGAAAGTATCTGTGATTCATTGAAAATGAATGGCACTGCGCATTTTAATTGAAATTGGATAATCTACAGATTCATTTTCTCGGATATTGATATTATTCATAAAGATCGTCATTATCAGAACAAGCCATAAAGTGTTTGATTCTTGGAACGAAATCACAGAAAAATCTACCGCTTATTATCGATGGGAGGGAACTCTTGTTTACAATATTAATTCAGACCACAAATAATTATTCCCTGTCTCTATAGTCATTCTATTTGAAGCTTTTCCAATTTTTAAGGCATATATTCATAAGTATCTTAGAGATTATAACAAATACCTTAGCCATATAAATAACCAAAAGTTTGTTCTGCTTTTAATGGCATTATGTCGTTTTCATACCTTGGGAAGAAGGGATGGGAGAGTCAGGGCTACCTCATACGTCAGTGAGTTCGTCACTCCGTCAATGGTATGGGAACCCTAAAAAACGGAAAACGTTTAAAACCAGAATAATATCTTTATTTAAAAAAAAAGGACATACCCCAAAAATATAACAAAATAAAACCTCCAAAAAAGATAAAAATAGATCTTTTAAAAATTAAAAATTTCCCATAAAATTCTTATCAAAAATTTTGAGTCAAACCCATTAATAACAATAAAAACAAAATTTAGGAGACTTAAGCAAATAATTTAACTATATCCCTTGAAGAATGAAGGGATTGTAAAGAGGTTTCCTAAACTTATTATGTGTATCAGGGACACTGATGGCAGTTATGAACCAACTGATGGCAGTTATGAACCACAGAAAATTGATGACAAATTGGACAAAATCGGTGTCCCTGATATACATAAAAAACGAAAACTTATAAATCAATTTAATGAGTTTCACCGATTGTTTTCCACATGTCTTTTCATTGATTCAACACAAGTAGCAATTTCCTCTGAAGTAATAATATTTCTACTTTTAAGGGCGTACAGCAGTTGTTCCCGGGAATTTCCAGCGAATTGATTGGATAAAAAGGCTGGAAGTCCTTTAAAACCATCCTCCATTGTAAATAGTGGTGGCCTAATTGACCCAAAACACTGGAAAGACAATAATTTGGCAGATGAGATAAAATATTCCCTTAATTTTGCAAATGAACTCATCTAAATGCAATGCAACAATCTATGGATATGAAGGAATGGAAGAGTTCATTAAAAGGAAAGGGGATGTCAGTTAGGAGAATCATGGAAAGAACGATTGTTGGCTGTTTATGATTGCAGCTTTTGGTCTTTTGATTGCAGTTTTACAATCTAATAGAAAGCAAAGAAAACACCCCTAGTTTTGAAAATGAACTGATCTTACCATGCATGACACTTAATCAGATTGCTTGAGAAAATGCACATAAAGAAGAGTTAAAAAAAACAATTGAGGGGTGTTTCAACTTACCTCTAACCCATATTCTTTAGCATTTAACGATTTCAGTTCAATGTTTTTAAACTGATCTAAACTGACTTCTTTTGTGAAAAAATGTAAAACCAGCTGCTTTTTATGATGTAAAAAAGTCACAAGATGGTTGTCATTTGTAAAGGGATGTTGTGTCAAATCTAAGTTAATCTCTTCTTCCATTTCTCTATTCAATGCTTCCATTGGATTTTCTCCAGGATCTACCAAACCTCCAGGGAATCCCAATATTCCATCAAATCTTAACTGCATCTGGAATGGAAATTACGTGGGGAAAATGAAACCCATGTTACAAGCTGTGCACATTAGGGCCTAATGGTTCCTCGGCATTTGCAAATCAAAGGAGTCCAAATACACAGGTGAACAGTAGGATATATAATTCCATTTTGATCATGACAAAAATCCATTGAAAAGTAAAAAGGAATGCCATGTGGTTCCATGTATCCTGAAGTTTATTGATGACAAAAAGTCCATGTAATGTAATGTTCATGATTCCATTGAAAGAATGTCAATGTAAGAATCAACAGAATCAAAAATGCAAAGGCTATTACATTTCTATACAGATGAGGTGCGCATTATATTCACAAATATACAGTATAGGTAATTCGAAATATATAGTTTAAAAAATTATTACCAATATTGCTGCTCTTTGTCGAAACATACCAAATACTAAGCGGTCATCCAAAGCATACAGCATACCATGGGCTGCATGGGTGAAATTTTTGAATTTTTCTGATACCGACTCTTGAAACAATATTTCTTCGTATTCTAATAAAGTTTTGGAACTTTGTGATTCAATGTCCGAGAAGCCACAATTATCAGTCGATGCCATTACTTAATTCCTAGAAATAATTAAACTTTTTGAAAGTATCTTCAGATAAATCTTTGCATCGGAGATAACTTGGCCTATTGAGGGAGCTATCATTGTAAAGATTACACATCGAATTATATTATATCATGAAATATTCTTCAACCCAAAATTTAAATTGATATTCTGATTTTTGTTTACTTTTTTCCTTTTTCAATTCAGCTGAATGTTTGAGAAAATGCTGCCTTCGTTTTATTTTAGAGTTTTCAGTCAAATAATCAAATAATGATTACTCAGCTCTTCAATTATGAAGGTAAATAAGGATTCCAAGATGGCGTTAAGTGGAAGGGAAATTTATTTTTTATGCAGTATTTTACTGTTTTCTGCTTTATTATTCATCGCCAGTTCATCAACACAATGCGATAAAGATAGCGGGGAGTGCACTTCAGAAAGTAAAAAAGATTGTGGATGCAGTGTCAGTCGGGGAGATGCAAAAAATGATAAAAAGGATGAAGGTTCTGAACAAGCAGACGACAAAAGTGGGATGTACCACCCACAAGCGAACCTAAAGAGTCCATATAAACGCACAAATGAAATGGTACATATTGCCGGCGACACATTTACGATGGGATCAGATAAGCAGATATTTGAAGCTGATGGGGAAGGTCCTGGGCGTAAGGTGAAAGTTAATTCATTTTATATGGACAAATATGAAGTTAGCAATGCAGAATTTGAGCTTTTTGTGAATGAAACAGGATACAAAACAGAGGTAAGCTTAGCTCTTGCAGATTCAATATTTCTTGAGTTGTGACAAAGATAAACATTAGGCCTACTTTTACTCAACATTTTTTTTAGATTACCTTATCATTTTATTAGGTTTTTATTTTTATTATGATTTTATTAGGCCTATTAAAGATCATTTCAGCTTATGCCCTAGCCTAGGTCTGGTAAGAATTAATGTGTAAAGAAACCTCACTAAAAAGAAAAGATTGGGATATAGCCTCTATGGGTCTAGGGTATTTTTATTTTTTTAAGCTAAACTCTTCTGTGATTTTGCAGGCTGAATCTTTTGGTAATTCTTTCGTGATGGATTTACTATTAACTGATGATGTAAAGAAAGACATTACTCAGGCAGTAAGTATAAGAGCTCATTTTATATTCATTTAGCAATGATTGACAGCTGTCAATATTACTCTAGTGGTAATATGTAAATTATTATGCAATGCAATCTTATATGCTCCTGCACAGATGGCAACTCCCATACATTGAGAGATACCGCCATAACCTTGATTTTTTAAAGGAACAAGTTTCCTCCCCCAAACAAGTTACCTACAGAAACTTAAAGGTACATGTATTTCAGGTTGCTGCAGCACCATGGTGGTTACCTGTGGATAATGCTTATTGGAGACAACCAGAAGGAAAGGGTACCAATATTAAAAAAAGGTAAAATATGTCACAGACTTCTGTTCAGGTTTTATATAAGCTTAAAATATGACAACAATGAATATTTTGTCTGAGGTTTTCATTTAACGTTCATGTTATTTTATGGAAAAAATTAGTATTACTAAATATGAATAACTGACATGGTGGGATATTATCATTTTTCATTATTACTATTAGCTAGCTTTTGGTCAATGTTGCATCTAAAATTTTGTATCAAGGATTATGGATGGAGTCCAATTCTTAAAATGTGATTCTCATAATAAACAACGAATTTAGTTTGGCCTTTGCCCAAGTTTATTTCAATTTTATTCCAGAATGGATCATGCTGTAGTACATATATCATGGAATGATGCAGTTAAATATTGTGAGTGGGCTGGTAAAAGGTTACCAACTGAAGCTGAGTTTGAATTTGCTTGCAGAGGTGGTTTGGAGAATAGGTAAGGTCTTCCTTTATCTTCACCTTTCTGAGAAAGATCAATGCCAGGAGATTTAGCCAAGAACCAGCTGGTACAAAAGGACTCATGTGAACCAAAGTTTTTATCCATGTATAAATTGGTTCTGTACTTCTTTTCAGAATCTCACGATTACCAGTGGTGGAGCCTGTAATTCTTTGGGGAGCCTAGGTGGAATATCCACTTAAGTTCTTTTTCATTATACCCCAAAACCTATCCATTAAATTTTGTTTGATTTTAGATTATTTCCATGGGGCAACAAGTTAATGCCTAAAGGACAACATTGGATGAATATTTGGCAAGGAGAATTTCCCAAACAAAATACAGAAGAAGATGGTTTTATCAGTACTGCTCCAGTGAGTATTTATTTCAGGACCACATTTCTAAAAATATCTTAGTAAAAACTTTGACATGTGCTTACTTTTTCTTTTTTCTAGCCGTTCATTTGAAAACAAATTGTGGCAAATTTTGATGATGTTTGACAACTTCAAAGGATGACGACGTATTTTTGAAAATTTAAGTGGGTTCCGAGTTTAATTAATCCTTTGGGCCTTGACCCAGAGTAAGAAGTTTGATCAACATCTGGAGCTTTTATCAGATATGACCGACAAATGTTGTCAATTCAACGAAGTGATCATTATGTATGAAAACTCCTTTATTATTTTCTCAGGTTACATCATTTCCAGAACAAAATAAATTTGGTTTAAAAAATATAATAGGTAATGTATGGGAATGGACTAATGATTGGTGGGAGACTAAACATACCAAAGACTTTAAAGATAACCCTGTAAGTATAAATTAACAAGGATAGCAACTTAAGATCACTTGAATCCTTTCTACCAGCTGGTCCCTTGCAAAAACTCTTGGGCATTGATCTTCCCCATATTATCCATACCCATTTACAACTGGGTATACAAATGATAAAGAAAGATGACTTATTACATTACTTTCATATATATTCCTTTCCAGAAAGGTCCAAGTACTGGTACAGATAAAGTAAAAAAAGGGGGATCATTTTTATGTCATGAGGTATGCTTCTCTATCCTTCCTGTCTTCATAGTTATTCTTTGCATAAAGACATATGGTTCAGCGTTCTATAATTGCAGGAACCACAGACATCTAATAGAAAATTAGAAAGGTGCAAAACGATGCTATCTGAGTGCCTGATACAAACAAAAAGTTAACCATTTTCAATCCATTTTATTTGCTGTCTTCAATGATATCAATATATCAATGAATTAATTTTGAGACAGCCTCTTGAAAAATGTTTTGTTTTGTTTGTGTTTCAGTCCTACTGCTATCGATACAGATGTCAAGCTAGGAGTCAGAATACTCCAGATAGTTCAGCTGTTAATCTTGGTTTCCGTTGTGCTGCTCATACTCTTCCATCTTATTTAAAACATACATAAATCACTATCATTATTTTTCTTGATTTAACAAAGGTATATGTGTCACTTGATACAAATTTTACAGAATCACTTTCAGATATCTTGTTGGTCAACAAACAACAAGAATATCAAATATAAAATCTGCTGGTTTAAGGCTCTAAGCCAAAGGAAATTTCATTGCCAGTTATCATTTCAATACACTCAAATTTCTTGCCAAATTAGTCTCCCAACACTGTGCGATCTCTAACACAAAACCACAGATTTAATGGACAGGGGGGATATACAAGATATGGTGTCTGATACATCGTGTTTTTCCCCTCAAAAATTGACTCTTATGCTTTTTTTTTAGCATACGATCACTTATAATGTATTGATTACAATTTTTAAACCTTTGTGTGCAATCCCTGATTTCTATCTATCTTTTTGTATAAATCTACAGTAATTCCATTTCTTTACACCCTCTAGGTTGGCTTATTGCTATTTATATGTTTCTTATTGATTATATGTCAGTTGATTCTGAATTTGAAATTATTGATTGGGAATGTGGTGCTTTGTTCATAGTGATGACTATTGAATTTCGAGTTGATCTCATCTGATTTCTGTCTTATAATATATATGTTTCTATACCAATATGGGGCCTTTCAATATATCTATGCATTCCATGTTTGGGAAATCCATCATGTGTGGTAAAGGTTATTTTGTATGTTTGTATTTTGTCAACGTGTGTAAATTCGTCCATGGGGAGAGTGTTTAGTTTTGAGAATATTATTTTACATTTTACATATTCTCAATTTTGCAGTTCGTAAAAATTTACATTAATTAATGTTAAACTCAATAAATTTTACTTAGAGAGAAATGGCCCATCATGTTAATTTTTAAAAAAAATAGTTGCTTTATCCAATCACAAAAATAAATGAGCTGGCTTGACATTTTATAACAAGGATTTTGTAATAAAGTCTTTATTTAAGATTGGTCCGAAAATGGCACCATTGCTGAAGTGTATTTTAAGTCAAGGTCTTCAAGGTTAACAGTATTCATAACACACTGTCATCTTCCATTTTATCATTGTTTGTTACTTGTTTGTTGTTAATTAATAAATACATAATTATTGTTTATTGTAGTTACTAAAGAAATGACTAAAATGTTATTACAAGCCATGTGGCCCCTTTTGCATTTGCTCTGGCATTAAATATGGTCCTAAACACAGAGCCTTGGCCATGTGCTTCTTAAACGATCTTAGCACTAGGATGTCTTAGTTTCTTATCTTCTAACATTGATTCTAGGACATCCTAGTGCTAAGATCGTTTTGAGAATACATGGACTGGTTTACTGTCGAATAAGGTGCTTTTTCCATGTCACCCCCTTAGACCTGCAGCACTGACAGCTGGGAAACAGGGGTGAAAAATCTGAAGGTATATCTCAACATATAATGGGATTAAACCTTGACCTTCAGGTTAGCAAGCAAACTTCAGACTCCCAGGGATTATAAGTATTCTCATCTCAAGAACACAAACCAGCATCAAATGGCAGAAGCTCCTGACAATCTTTGGAACCACAAAAACACTTCTTTCTATTAGCAGAAACTCTGGCACCGAGCTGGGCAGAAACGCCGTAATTAAAAGTGAGTTCTTCCAGAGGTTTGATATCTCGATTGGCAAACAATGCCAATCTTGGTACACTAATATTGATCCGAACTGGAAACATTGTCAAATTGGGCTGGCAGGAATGATTAAGCCAGCGTCCAATATTGCCTTTAAATTTTGGATCCACAAATGTCTGCAAGAGTCCAGAACTACAGTGCTCTTGAAGAACCATCAAATAGTTCATATCTGAAGGTAACAAATTTTGACACCGTTTGGCAGCTTCTGATTTTGTAAGAATCTCCCCAGCATATTCACACACAAAGGTTCCCCTCGGAATAATTTCCAATGTTCTCAATCCAAGGCCTTTAATACCGGCGTCAAAGACTTCTAACTTGATTTGAATTCCTTTTTGAACCAATCTGTTGTGGCATGTTTTGGAACAAGAACAGTTTGAGTTACATTCCAAGATAGGTTTGGATTCCACGTTTTCAAAAATCTCTGATAAAAGTTTGTTATCTCTGTAATTGAGGCCTGTAGTTGTGATACATGAGCACAGTCTTAGATCTTGAATATCACTATGTACATTATTCTGATCACAACCAACAATTTGGTCATGAGTATAGTTCTGATCCACTGATATCTGACCTTGAACATTATTGTGATCATAAGCACTGTTTTCATCACGAATTTCATTCTTATCACAGTTATCATCTGAATGAGGAATATCAATTTGATCACGAAAATCAATCTGATCACATTTCTGACAATCACAACCTGCATATTCTTCTTCAAACAATTCTAGATCAAGATTTGGACCAGGTATATTGGTCTTTATGTACTGAAAAACAAAAGAAATCATAAAGAGAATCGCCTTCCCAGTGTCAAATAATACATTTATATTTAATTCCTATTACCATAAAGACATTTCAAGGAAAAGCTGTCATGGCCCACGCATGTGATGCACGATATTGCGATATTGGACCCCATTGCCATTGGGGAGTTTACTTCTGCAAAAAGAACGTAAGCTTACCTTGAAATTTTTCAGTTCAGAAATATTCTGCATCTTCTCGAAGTGAATAGGGAGTTTTTCCAATCCTTCGCTGAAGTCATAATCACCTTGTATCATTGTAGGGGCAATTTTGTTGTCAAATCTCAAGTATAAGTTATTTTTCTTAAAATTTCAAGTTTACTTTCGGTTTGTTTTGGTTTAGCTCGATACTGTTTTTATCTTTTTTGATGGAGAACCCTGTCTAAGGGAAGTAATTCATATTTCAGACTACAATGAATTATATCAAAGTTCGAAGGGTATACAATAAAACGTTAGTTAAACAAACCATGAACTATGGATATGAAAACTAAGCATATTAAACACTAAACATTTTATTGACCAATACAAAAAACATGGTTGGCATAGAATACAAATATTGAGGACGTTCTCCCACAGGCGTCGCTTTACCAGTGGCTCAACTACTATAGTAAATAAGGACTGATTGAAACTCTTACCCTAAGGGTACCCCACCCCCAGAAAAAAAATACAAAATTAAAAATAAATGTACCAAAGTATCCAAAATGTTAACACAATTATGAAATAGTTCTCAACCTATGCTGGGGCCCTTATATGAGCAATATTGTGTCCGTATTTAACAGAATTTCAAGGAAAAATTTCCAGGATCTTTTGGACTCGATGTTTGATGGCATCTTCTAAACTCAGCAGCCTGGCATCAGAGAATCGTGGTGCATTGGAGCAGTTCTCTCTAACTTCAAAACGACAGGTTCTGTAATGGTGGATTGTTGCCACTCCAAACGGTACTCGATATCTGGAAAATATTAATATATAATTGTCCAAGAATTCAAATCAGGAGCCTCACCATGTGGTCGTTTAACACGATGCAAGGAGTATTACGAACTCCATCTAATACCTTGACATCATTATGCACTTTTCTTGTAAGCCTAAGCTATAGCAGAAGTTTTGAATGCAGTGATGATGGACCTAAGTATTATTTTGAGGGAATAATCAATTTAAAAGCATGATATAGCTTAAATAAAGACGATTTTTTTTATGAAAATCCCACCTCTTGAAGCCCCATAAAGGAGATGCATCGTGGGTCCAAACCATTCCAACTCGGCCAGGAATATGAACTAATTTAGGTCTAACATAGTCTGGTTCCATTCTTTGAATATATCTCATAGATTCCAAGGTAGAGTTGTTGGATATGTTCCAATCCCTGATGAATTGTTCTACACCAAACATGAAGCTTCCAGCATTCTCGTGCGTTGATAATAAATCCTGCAAAAAATACGAGATATGAGGAAACTTAATTAGTTAGTGACTTTAGTAATCGGCAGAGTAAATAGTTGATGATGACTAGCTTTAGGGCGTGTTGTAGCACAGTCGGTTAGGGTGTTGGAATCTTTATATGACAGCATTAGTTTGGTTAGGTCGAACAAAATGGTGGCCGTGGGTTCTTATCTCTGGTCAAAAGCCTAGTGACCTTGAATAGGCCATCTTTCCTCATCATTCCAGTCGACCCAGCTGTATTTCGGCACGGATAATCTGGGAAAGATCAATGCCTATATGTTCGGCTAAGGACATAAGAGCGGTGTCGAAATCAAAATTGGTTAATGACGAAATCAGTACAAACTTTCAATAATGCTGGAATGCTGGAAGTCTTTGATGGTACCAATATTTCATCAAAATCGATAATGCCTATAAAACCATATCCGGATAACCTTTCCATACAGTCATACACGGCCATCTGGGCATCGGCATACAACGGATGGTTATATCTGGCTTTTTGCATTTCTTCTGAAAACGTAATATTAAAGCCTCGGTAAGGATCGGGTTCAAGCTATTTCATAATTCTTGCTTAATTGGTATCAAGTGTTAGTTAAATATAAGACAAGATTGCTCGGCATTGTTCGGCCATTGTTCACTGCATTTGACGTCAGAGCGGTATTTTCCCATATACACTATTTGAGGGAGAAAACTTACTCACATAAGATTGACCGCTTCAGAAACAGCACTTACCGGAAACATTTCCAGGAAATTTCATGGGCAAGACATCCACCAGTCCGGTGTCGTGGTACCGACTCAAAATTTTCTTCAACCTCGAATTCAGGTTAAGGTCATGCACCAAAATTTTACTGACCCCTAAGGCACGATGGAGTTCTGTGTACTCTACTAAGATATGGGCGGACATATTTCCGAACGCCGTCTTCGTACAAAATGCAGTTTCATTTCTACGTATCAGTGGAAAATAAATTTGAAGAATTTTGGAGCTGAACTCTTCACAGCTGGTGTACCCAAAATAAACTTTTTCTGCTTGGAAGTTCGTGGGAACTAAGCAAGAAAACTGTTTGGCAGTGAAATGATACCTTTTATAACGAAAAGTTGATTTTATTTTGGATTGTGTTTGGTATATAGTATTTTCCGATTCAGTTATGAAACAACAGTAGAAACTGTTTAAGTTTCCCCCATCGAGCACCGCAAGCCGAACATCCAGTAACTGTGACGTAGAATGGGTAACGCTCACTATTGCTGAGTAAATGTAAAATTCAAAATTTTCGAGATTGGCATAAATTTTTGATTGTTGAAGTTTTTGTCGATCCTGAAATAAGAATTGAAATAATGACTACAGTGTAACCGCGTTTAAAAACCACCACATAAGCAGAACAACTTTCCATGGGCCAAAAAGTGTCCTCTTTATAGAAATTATACTGTTATTTCATAACGTGGGTTATACCAACGAACAGCTAGCTGGTCCGGCACCCCCCACACAACAATCAAATTTTTTTTTGTCATTTTTATAAAGTGAATCGCCTGTGGGCCCCCAGAAATTTTGTGAAGTCTGCTCAACTCACTCACCGAACATAGCCTTTCCTAGAAAGGTCACTGCTAAAGAAATTTTCGAGGTGTCCAAAACTTCATTCTCCTTTGTTATAACACGCTTAGTTTTGGAGGAATTGCGAGAACCTCAGACATCTGATTAAAAATAGGAATGGTGCAAATTGATTCTTACATAGTCCCCGATACGCATAAAAAATTTAGAAAACCTCCTTTAACGTCAATTATTTTGAACCATTGTTAATTCTTACCGCTTTCTTTGAAATTTCAGCTTCGATCCCATATATTAGATAAATAAAGTAAAAGATAAGAACTATTATTATAATCCGCCAGAGCAGTAAAGATCTTCTACATTTCAACAACACATAAGATGACCTCAACATCCTGCGACAACACCATAAAACTTGACTTCAAAGTAACATATTGCAGTGTTTACAGATGGTGTCTTGTCGACTTAAAGGGAGTGTAAAGAGTTTTTCTATGCTTTTTATGTGTATTGGGGACACAGATAGCATCTTCTTTGGTTACTGCAATTAATGCTTAACCGTATATGACGTCACAACCACAAAAGGTGATGGTACTATCTGATGGACCTTGCGATGGCTTCGACTTGGAGATGGAATGGCAAGAACCACAGACGTCGGAATGGTTGAAATCGACGCTTTCACGGTGCCCTTTACAATCCCTTTAAGTTGTCAATTATAAATTCAAGTGCTTTCTGTTGGGGAGAGAATAATATGGAAGCCGACTGTGGTCATTATTAGATTTTCCTCGTTTTTCGCCATTTCCTCGCATTTTTCATCGCTTTCTCGGCTATTTTTACCCTCGACTTCTTGCCCTCGTCACTCTGTTGTATATAGATATGAACCCAGGTAACTCCACCGAAGAATAGGCTCTTATTGACCAAGTTAGAGAAGTCAAATTTTATGTCCTTTCTAAAAGCCACTATTCCTTTAAAATAACTACCAAAATAATTTATTCCTTACTAGCCTATTGATTATTTTATTATTGAACGGAAATCAATGACAACTATGTGCAGTAGACCGTTGGAAGGACTGCGTATAAAACAGCTGTGGTCTGAGTATTGATATCTGATTATTCCCCTTCGAATGAATCTTCAATGTCAATAAGTGAGGATAAAAATGAATGGCGATTCGGATGAAGATGTTATTTTCGAGGTAAATATTTGCAAGTTGTGTGTGATTGTGGTGGATTTGGGCTTCGAAATAAGTCGTGCAAGTCCTTGAGCATCAATGGAAGCGTATGATTATTCGTTAAGTGTATGTTTGTATTTAAATATTCTATTTTTTGCGTGTTGTTTACATTATTATCTCCCCTTAATTTGACCCTTTAATTAACATCGCATTGATTAGTCTATCGTCAGCTGGTTTAGAAAACAACACAATTAATATGGAAGTAGGCTACAGATGCTCTTTTAAAATCGACAACAGATGACATTAATTTACATAATGTTGGTTGGTAGATATACAGCCAGATAATGGCAATGCAATAATGAGTTTAGTTTTTCATAAGTCAAACGAGTGCAGTTTTCTTTGAGTTGGCCGAGAGTGAGCTTTTTTGGATTGAGGTCAACTGTGGTGTGGTGATGCACTACCCTAGCCTCTACTACTGAACTAAAGTGAAGTTCATGCCCTCAGCTTGCCCTGTATCTTTATATAAGCTTCTATTGTATTGTCAACATTATTATTATATTACTTCACCTATGAATAAGTCATTCAAATATTGAAACTGGTTTAAAATCTTGCTGACCCCCACTTGAAGGTTATTAGTAAGAATACACTTGTACCAGCCAATAACTGTGAAATAAATCATAAATCGTTAATCTTCACATTGTCAAGCTATTACAGACTTATACCTTGACTTCAATAGACACTATTCTTGTATCATGGAAGTTAGTAAATGACGCGATTTGATTGGATTGTATGCTAGCTTTTACAGCCAATCAGAGAGCTCTGACAAACATTCTTTGAACACAAAGCCATGTTTTATGAATATGTTGAATGAATACTTTGTTTTTTTTTTAGAATTCACCGCTGTATAAACATCTACAGAAGGCAGGAATGGCCGATATAACAGCTGAAACCATCAATCATATTAAACCAAATGTTATCTCAAAACCAGTATTGAAGCAGGTAGAGTGCAGATTCCCTCAGATTTAAGCATTTCATCAATGTGGTCCTTGTACAAAGATATTTTTATTAACCCTTGTTGATAACCCATTTAAGGGTTGCATTTTAGCATATAAAACTCCAAATGGCTGGCTGGCTCAGTCATGGAGTTAGGTTATCATCTACTAGGCAATTATGTGCTGTAAGTTCGAATCTCTTGAATTTAGAAGCCACTGAAAAGTATTATCAGCTGGTCGGTTTGCTCTCAATCAAGCTGAAATGGATTCTGGATTTACTGGAAGTAATGATGTATTAAGTATTGATCATTTTGTCACTAGCTCACTAGCAAATTCAAACTACAGTCGCCCTCAATATTTATTGTATTTCCAGGTTGATTATGCTAGTCTTTTTATTGATATATTGGGTAAATTTTATCAAAGTATTGTTTTCTACTGCTCAAAAACCAAGTGGGGCACTGAAAATCTGGTAAGTAATTAATGTAAATCTATTGCAGTGAAGTCCCTTCTTTAGAATTTACAATTCTCATACCACTCAATAGCAGTGAAAATTGTCTAATGATCAAAATTTTATGTGACATGATTACAGTGGGAAAATGGAAGTTTGATTTAACTTATTATCAATTCTGTTATTTCTCCCATCTGTTATCATCTTGTTATCAATTTTGTTATTATTTCCGATCTGTTATCATCTTGTTATCAATTTTGTTATTATTTCCAATCTGTTATCATCTTGTTATCAATTTTGTTATTATTTCCAATCTGTTATCATCTTGTTATCAATTTTGTTCTTATTTCCAATCTGTTATCATCTTGTTATCAAATCTGTTCTTATTTCTCGCCTGTTATCATCTTGTTATCGTTCTGTAATTCCTCCCATCTGTTATCAACTAATTATCAATTCTGTTATTTCTCATCTGTTATCTTGTTATTGGTTCTGTTATTTCTCATCTTATTATCAGTTTGGTAATTTCTCCCATCTGTTATCAACTGTGTTATTTTCTCCCATCTGTTATCAACTGTGTTATTTTCTCCCATCTGTTATCTACTTTATTCATGTTCTCATTTGTTATCTGATTAAAGTTGAGGAATTCCCTCATCTGTTATCAATTTTGTTATTTTCTCCCATCTGTTATTAGGAAGCCTGGTATCACATGACTACCATAAAACATGTACAGAACTCAAAAGCTTTGGAAGAAGAGGACTTGGCCTTTTTGGAGAATTATATTAACTGTAATAAACAAGAAACCATTTTAACAGAACCAACAGTCTATGACTGCTTTACAAAATGGAATGGGTAGGTTTTTGGACTTCTAATGTAGAATACGGTACTTGGAAATTTAAAATATGCTGATTTAAAGTCTTTGATATTTTGAAAGCAAATGAGAGCCTGTAGAAAATTACCCTCATTGTACACTGCATTGTGTTGTTCATGTTCAATAGTCAACCATTATAAAATTTGGTGTAAAACTCCATTCATTTGTTTTTTCCAGGCCTATCAACTATTTATCTACTGGATTTCTAGTCTATACATTAATATGGTGCACTGGTATATTTCCCATGAACTTACGACCAATGGCAGATTTTTTAGCCGTAGCTTTTGGTGTTTGTATAATGATAACATGTTTTGATGTCTGTTTCTATTGGTGGAAAAGGCGTATTTTCATGGACACTGCAACTGCCATTGAAAAGTGTATCAAAACTAGTGAAAAAGTCTTGCATCTGACTCGGCAGTCTTTACGGCTGATACAGGAAACTGAGTTAGTCGCTAGAGGCTTTACATTGTAAGTTATCATTTAAAAGGATTGTAAAGATTGACTTTTTTTGTGTATCAGGGACACTGATGGCATTGATTTGCACCATTCACTTTTTGAATTGAACCTCCCTATTCACACGTTTCCATTATGAGAACCATGTATTGGACTTGCTCAATCATTTAAACACCTGATGTAACTCGGCTTGTCAACTTAGCTTCCCCTTTATGGAGTCCTCATTACTTGAAACATCATTGTGAGAGGCCCTCTGCAGAGACAGGACAGTGGTCTTTGACTGACAACTTAAGATCAAAATAATGGTCTTTTTCAATGGCTGTTTGTAATTTTCGTATCATTTGTGACTATTGGCTTACAATTAATATGTGGAAATATTTAAATAGAAATGTAAGATATATTTCAGTTTACAACATAATTGGATATGTTTTATGTTTCAGAGTGAGTCAAAGAGTAGCAGTTTCAGGGCTTGAACAACAATCCTCATCTAAATTATGTACAGAACTACGTAAAACTACATTCTATACAGCCAGATCTGGTCTGTTGACATTTAGAGAGGCCACACTGAAATTATTAGAACTGTATCCTTTATCAATAAATATAATATTCTTATGATTTAAACTACAGGTCTGCTATCATATTGATAATTCTAATCTGAATATTTCATTTATCAACATAAAGCCATTATCAGTAATGTTAAGAAGCTGATATTCCAATTTACACAAAATCGAGCTTAATGGATTTATAGAAATAAAAATTTTACTATATTTTCCAATGTCTTGGTTAACCATACACATTTTATTTCCTTATCCTATCCTAGACATCCTTTAATACCTGAAGTTGATTCAGTCTGTAACTACCTAGCTAGTGTACCACTGTCAGATTATGGACCATGTTTACAACTAATAGGACAACAAGCTGACAACAGTCTTCATCTCTCTCAGTTAACAGATGGTTTCTCTGTAGCAGCTCTCAGGGTAGGCAACTTTTTTTTCAAAATATGCTTCAATTACAAGGAGAAAACTGGCATAGGCTATACCTATCAATTGTTAGTTATTTTGGTTATTAACAGAAATTATTTTTGGTTATTGAAATAAAGTTATTAAATAAAGTTATTATTGGTTATTAAATAAATTTAATAAATAAATTTATTATTGGTTATTAAATAAAGTTATTATTGGTTATTAAATAAAGTTATTATTGGTTATTAAATACAGTTATTATTGGTTATTAAATACAGTTATTATTGGTTATTAAATAAAGTTATTAAATAAATTTATTATTGGTTATTAAATAAATTTATTAAATAAAGTTATTATTGGTTATTAAATAAAGTTATTAAATAAAGTTATTATTGGTTATTAAATAAAGTTATTATTGGTTATTAAATACAGTTATTATTGGTTATTAAATAAAGTTATTATTGGTTATTAAATAAATTTATTAAATAAAGTTATTATTGGTTATTAAATACAGTTATTATTGGTTATTAAATAAAGTTATTATTGGTTATTAAATAAATTTATTAAATAAAGTTATTATTGGTTATTATATAAAGTTATTATTGGTTATTTTCAGGGAATGAATCAGTTATTTGCTCTCTATTTATCAGAGTTTATTAGAAGATTAACGTTATGTTTTATTCATGATGCTCAAATACAAGGTAATTTGTTGAATTATTGTCTGCTTGCTGCCATGTGTTTGAATTTTCCTTAAACTATGATGGTAAAACCAGTGCTTCCGAAAGTCCTGATGTCCACTTGTTACCCTCTATCACCTATCAATTCCCTGTCGAATGAATCAATATTAGGGTCGATTCAAAATTAAGATAGATAATTGATATGATGCATTTCTTTAATCAATGTGATATAGTTGGGAAGAGTTGATTGGCAAAATTTTGAATATCTAAAAAATTTCGTCAACAAGGTGTGTGCATTATAAACGGGTAAATGGATTTTTCCAGATCTTGATAAGGTAAAAAGGGATGGGCATTATATTCAGAAAAATACGGTATCACAGAAAACAAATTTTTTTTTTTCAGGATCTCCAGCACCTTTTGATAAATTAGGAAGTTTAATGGAAGATTTGTTTGTAAAATTAGAAAAAGAGCAGACAAAGTTACAGAAATCTTATGATTTCCACAGGAGTAGTCCTTTAAATCGAGAGCCGAGTAAATTCAAATTCAAGAAATCCAAATCAAAAACTGGAGATTTCCATACAGCAGTTCATAGTTTAGAATTACATTTACAGGCTGCCCTTGTAAGGTAAGGAAGGTATTGGAATCTTTTCCTCAGCATATTTTTCTTTGGCGAGAAAGAAAACATGTAGGTTCACAAGGATCATTTCTACCTGCTGATCCTGGGTCAAAGCTTTTGGCATTGATCTTTCCCCAGGATTTTAACCATAGGGTTAAATGAAATAATAAGGACCTGTACATCTGATCGAGATTAGAATTCCACAACCACCATTGTCCATAGACATAACCAAGCAAGTGATGTCATGAACAGATTTGAACGCATTAACCTGTGACTTAGCAGGTTAGCAAAATTTCTCTTATTGCACACTGCATGGAGTCCCAATAAGAAGAAAACTTCATACATTTAACACCATTTCATTTTATATAGAACTCAAGAACTGTCATTAAAACTAGAGAAGGATCTAGAAGACGAGATCAACCAGACGGAAGATAGTGTAGATTTACCAGGCATCAATAAAGAGGAGAAAGACAACTGGTTACATGTGATGAAGGAAGTCAAAGGTGAAATAGAGGCTTGTAAAGGTTGCTGGGAAGAAGGGATGGGCCGGTTGGAAAAATCTAAAGACAAAACGGGTAAGTGGAGAATTTAAAAATTTTTTCGAAAAGCTTTGCTTATTGTTAAACAGTGAAAGCTAACCCCAGGCTTATTTTTGATAGCACAGTCTGTGGCATCAAAATTTTTTTTACCCTGAGGTGGATTAGCACCCACACCACCCAATCGTCTAGCAGATGATAATTCTTCTCGTTATTGTCTGAGCTATTCCACTGCCTCAAAAGTCAGTGAGATCCAAACCAGCGTACGGTTATTTCATTTTGCTATGAAATTGACTGAAGTTGTGTTTAAAATTTGATATTTTCAGTGCCGAAGTTGGAGAGTTTTTTCTGTGAAATAAAAGAGAAGAAAGACCAGGAAGTTAATATAGTAGATATTGGTGAATATATAATAGAAGATCAGGTATAGAACTTTTCTTCGTTACTGATCCTTTCTGGACCTCCTCTCTGGACCTCCTTTCTGGACCTCCTTTCTGGACCTACTCTCTGGACCTCCTCTCTGGACCTCCTCTCTGGACCTCCTTTCTGGACCTCCTCTCTGGACCTCCTCTCTGGACCTCCTTTCTGGACCTCCTTTCTGGACCTCCTTTCTGGACCTCCTCTCTGGACCTCCTCTCTGGACCTCCTTTCTGGACCTCCTCTCTGGACCTCCTTTCTGGACCTCCTCTCTGGACCTCCTCTCTGGACCTCCTTTCTGGACCTCTTCTCTGGACCTCGGACCAATGGGTTTCTTTGCCACCACCCCAATGCTCAAATACAATCTACAGAATTTTGTAATATTCTCATGGAAAATATATAATTTAATTTGATTTGCAGATTGTTGTAATAAATTTTAATTTTTGCCAATCAAAGAAAAAATCAGATCACAAAAGAGGTCATTTTGGCGCCATTTGCTATGAGATACCACTCAAATTGAACCCTGAACCAAAGAGACTCTAGGAAGCACTGGCCTTGGTGTGATCTTAATTGAATATTTAATCTGCAGGTGTTTGAAGGGTATACAGATCCAGATGAAAACGAAGACAGTACATGGTCCTGGGAACCAGTATTATCAGCAGAAGAAAAGGTAACGCTATCATATAATTCAAGTCATAGTTGGACAATTTGTGCTCTAATCAGACGTGACTGGATTAAACTTTCTAATCAACAGTCCTGCTCTATGTAAATATAGATTTACTTGAAATATAACACTTAGTTGAGTGGCATTGCACGAACCACAGACGTCTGACTGAAGTTTTGAATGGTGCAAATCAATATCAGTGTCCCTGATACACATAAAAGGTTTATATCCTCTTTAAAATGAAGCGACTCATTCAATAGACGAAACCATATAAACCTGAAAGATCCCTAGGTTTGTCAAATATGGTGGAACTCTTCAATAATTCAGATTTTTCTATCCTTCAGGAAAAAAGAAAACGTGAAAAAGAAGAAGCTAAAAGATTACTTAGCGAGTTGAGATCGGTTATTTCTGTTCGTGCTGAAGATCGTGAACGTCGAGAGAAGGTTGCCATAGAGAAAGCGAAGGGACATAACTCTCATTCTGTTGAGAATGCTTTTGACATTACTATCAAGAAACAGAGACTAGCTGAAGGCAGTCTGAACGATGAATTTGAAAGTGGACCCAAAATGGTGGAAGAAGTTGCTGAAATTAAAATGTATGTCACAGAGAAAGCTGTGGATCCAGATTTGGCTTTGTCCAATTCCGATGTCTTCAGTAGCACCAAAGCAGATTCATCAGCTCTTTGTCTGGATCATGTCTCAAGTCTAGAGAACATCAGTCCTATTGCTTCTAAGGCGGAATCTAGCAGAGTCTTGGATGATGAACCCTTGAAGCAGGAAACTTCATCAGTAAATGAAGCATCAAATCCAAAGGATGTTCTCCGCCAAAATAATGAAAATTTGAATAACAGTGCTTGCTACAACAAAATCCATAAAATTGAGGACACTTTTGCTTCCATTAGTGCCTTGGACGAAAACAAACTTTCAAATTTACAATCTGAAACCGATATTTCCACTAATGAAAACCATTCTGATTCCGAATTCTCCTCAACCTCCAGTAAAGATGTCAGTTATTCCCAGAGTTCCATTGACATAGACTCCAGTTCCTGCAAAGAAGACTCCATATTGAAATCAGCGAACTCTTCCAAGTCCTCCAGCGGTTTCTTTGATGGAAAGGATCACGCCAGAAAACCAGATAACTCTCGAATTCCTAATCAAAAGAACAATGCTACATATTCCATTAGTCCGAAGAATTTCTCTAAATCGCAGACAAACCTCATTTCTAGTCCTAAATGTGATAATACAGACACTGAATCTCTTGTCGATCCCAATCTATCACAACCCCTCAATACTCTGACTGGTCTCAACCACAAAACCGTTTCTAACTGTGATAACAAACATCCAGACGCTAGTTCCAGCTTCTTTACACCCACTAAAAATTTTTCGGGAAATATATCAGGAGTTGCTCCCCTTGATGATTCCAAATTAGAATCCACATCTTCCATTTACCAGAATGACGATTTATCCGAAACATTGCCAAATGAAATGAATACTCCTATGATAACTGAAACAGCATCTAAAAGTGAATCTTTCCAAAGGAATCAGCGTTCACCTCTGCATGGTGTTTCTGATGATCAATCCACACCAGGATCTCAGAGGTCTTCATCTTCAATACCAAAGACAGATCTCAGTATCATTGAAACCCAGTCCCAAAGCTTTCTAGGACAATCCACAGGATTTGATGTGGAGGATGACACAACCCATGCAATGAAAGACACTGAAGCCTCTACTGAAGATAGTGCCAATGCTACTTTCGAAACTGGTACACCATCCAAAGAATCCAGAAAGTCCAAATATGACCAGAAGACAACCTTTGAGTGCAAAGCGAATGAGAAAAACCAAGCAATGAATGACACCAATTCTACTTATGAAACTGGGACATCATCCAAAGACTCCACGAACAATGAAGATGTCCAAGAGATGACCTTCGAGCATGATCCAGATTTAGAAGCTGATGACAATGCTCTAGTGGACTCTTCTGATCCAAGTCTTGATGGTATTTCCCCAGATACCAGCTCTTCTTCTACAGGAGAGACTGGGCCAACAGATCTTGATATTAGAATATCCAGACTTCCAGGAGCTAACTTAGCTTTCAGTGCCAATATTGCTGCAATGGCTGCAGCACGATCAGTTAATTTGAATTTGAACATTGACACATTTGGAGATTCATCAAGTGATGGCGAGTGCCAGTGCAGCTGTGAATGTGAAGGGGAATGCGAGGAAAATGAAAAATGAAAAATAAAACTGCTCTACTTGGACTACTTGACTTGGACAACTGAAATAGGACTACTGGACTATCAATGAAGACTCTCATAATTAAAATGCTAAAATGATATGAGCGGCCATATTTGATATCCAAAATAATTCAAATTCCTTAAAACTTTATATAATTTGAGCTTCACTCTGATAAGGACTCTTTTGGGTCACAAGCAAGACACAACTCCCTATGCCACTCTTAGATTGGGTATGTCAACTGGGCATCCTTTGGTGGAGAGTTTACATAGTTAATATAATAATTTGGTACATTGTTCATCAAGTGGCAGTTAGGAATAATCATGGATGTCAAATTCTTTTGGAAGTTAAATAATGCTCAATTAGGTGTTTGGAAAAAGTTTTCCAAGTTGACATACTCAATCACGGAGGTGTCAGGTGTTTCGAAATATTTTAAGTTTAAAAAGATCATATTTAGGACATAGAAATATTAAACCAGAACCTGAAAAAAACATGTTGTTACGCAAGAGTTTCATGCTATGTGATCTTCAGACAACTGACCTATTTCAGCCTGCGTATATATCATCTAATTTGCTTAGAACCGAACACTAGCTGTCAGTCAAAATGTCACATGATCGAGAAATTCTTAATGATTTAATAAGCCACGGAATAGAAAAGTTAGCCAAAGCTGATTGGATGAAAAAAATGCATTGGGTTTTAATATTAGATGACATTGTAATTCTCGAACCAATCAGTGAATCAATTCTGTTTAAGCTCTACTTATTTGTTGAGCTCTAGTTAATTGTTTAAGCTCTAGTTAATTGTTTAAGCCCATCTTATATTTTGAATATAACTTAACCTTGTGTTTTAACCAATGAAAGTTTATTATTTATTTTTTTGTTCTTTAATTATTATTTCTCTTACATTTTTAGCACCATTATTGGATACAGTCATCTACCAGCTGATAGAACTATGTGTAACACTTATCAAAATAAAAATTCAAGTTCAGGTTTGCTTACAATTAGATCAAAAATGGACTATTATGTAAGGTATAACATTGAGTTTTTAACATGTGGTATGGATCGAAACTATTGTTACCTTTTATGATTAAATCAGTTTGGAATTTTAATTAATTGCAGACATCATTTTTTGTGGTTTGCATTCTGAAAAGTGGTACAGGTAAAGTTAAGATCTATCAGCTGGTAAATTAAATATTAAATGACTATATTTCTATAATTATTATGTTTTGTATGTTGTTTAATGAACTTAAATGTTGTAAAATAAAACACTGTTATTCTATACTATTTCTTATGCTAATGACCGTGACTATTCGCACTGCGAATGGGCATTAAAAAACATATGGCCATCCCTACCTAACCCTAAAAAAAATCACTTAACATCATTCTTGAAAATCAAAATGGCTTCACGCTTTAAAAAAACTCCAAAAACCAGCGTGGCTATTGTGTCCTATCTTATCCGTACCGTTGTTAGTAGCAATATAATCATCACATCGTGATGGTACAATACAAAGTGCGATTGATTATAGCCTAAATCAGACAATTTGATAACAATAAAAACAGCCAATGAAAACAATCAACATCTTTTTAACAAATATTTAAAATTATCAATAAATTCAACAATTTTTTTTGTATTTTGGCATTAGAGACCTGGTAGGGATATTTTTTACAGAATGCAGAAAGATTACTTTAACATCGTCACATTCATATGCTAACTGAGTTTAGAACCCACCACCATTATTTGTTCTAAGTAACTCAGCTTATGACGCCAAGTCCTCTCTCTGGTCATTTCCTGGATTATCAGGAACCCATTGATAGCAACAATAATTCCAGTTGACCAAGCTGTAAATGGTTATGGATAATCCAAGAAAGATCAATGCCAAGAGGTTTGGCCAAGGACCAGCTAGTAGAAAGGATCCTTAACTGTGAACCTAAGTTGTTATCCTTGTATAATATTTTTCTTTCTTGTTCAACATTTCTTCAGTTGACTAGAAATTGACGTGAGACAGGTTGTAATGATTCTGTAGCTTGGTGTGATGCAAGGCGACGTCTGCCAGTAGAGTTTTATTCATCAGTGGACTTCCAGTTTCCCCTCTTTTCTTCCTCTCAATGTTGACCGCTAAAAATATTTCAAAACAATATAATATCGAGTCGTTCTTTAAGTGCTTCAAAAATCGAAAGTAGAAGATTTACTTATGAATGTAAACATTCCAACAGTCAGCCTATCGGCAATAATTCATAATAATTTACATTATATTTTGTAATTGTAGTGGAAAGTACAATGAAATGAATGGAGTTTTATGTCCTACTTTTCTGCACCATGTGGGATAATGAGGGGCAACTTTATGTAGGTTGCAATGAGAGAAATTTTGCCAGGACAGCAGCATTAGCCAGCTCTTTTTCGATTTCAAACTGTCAAGGGATCTTTAATGTGTACAGCCTGAAGCACACAGGGCCTCGGTTGTCCTCACATTTCTGTTCCCGCCAAAAATCGTTCAGTTGACGAATCTCCAGATAGTTGAAACATGCCATGCCATAACTAGAATATTACCAAATATTGTGGAAATACCTAGCACTACTGTAAAGCCAAACGTCCAATTCGACTATTTGTGATTCATTGATTGAAACATTTAGAATCAAAACAACTTTGATTGTATACTAACCTGACACTGTGTCTTCAAAATGTTGTAGTAAGGAAGTTAACGGAACAAAGGATGTAGACTCCTGATCTTCAGGATTAACATCATTATACGATCGACTGGCTGAAATTTTACATGAAAAATTAATAAAATTCCAAGTGTGCCACAGTCTCTGCTTATACATAAACATTCAACAATAAAAGAAATATACAACAACATATTACAGGGATAACAACTTAGGTTCACAAAGTTCCTTTCTAACAGCTGGTCCTGATCTTTACCAGAACATATGTACCAATTTGCAGCTGAGTCCACAGTCAGGAACCAGATCCATTGGCTGGGAAATTAATAATCCTTGTCATACATGGTCAGTTGCTTCTTTATACACAAAATACCAATTAATCAGTAAATCCAAGAGAAATGTGAATACCTTTAACTGAAGCTAGTGTTTTCTTGTCTATTTCTTTCCCTGGAATAATATTACCAAAACTATTATGCATGCAAAGGTCATCAACAACCAAAATTGTTCAAAAGCTAATCCTCCATTATCTATTTATACATGGAAAAGGTCGGCCTACATATGTAATGTGGAATTTGGAAATTTGGAAAGTTATTTTGCTAATGATGATAGGCAATGCTGAGGAATTTTACCATGACAGTATCAATAGCCTAGTTCTTTCTCTATCAAGGGGTTTTTACAATGCACAGCCTGTAGCACCACCTGGTCTTGCATCATGGATAAAGAAAGACCATTTGAAATAGAATAAATGATCATACCTAATTGTAGTATATTTGCTGTTTGTTTTTTAGCGAAGAACGCAGCCGTACAAGGATGTTTCCAGACTTTAAAACATTCCTCAGCTTGGTGTTTCGGTAATTTGGAAATGATGTGATATTTCAAATTGAATTCTTCCCCTTCATCTGATAAATCTAGAGAAAGAAATGATATGATGTGATAATAATAATAATACCATATTGGTGTTTGATTGGAGAGTTCTGAACAGGTTCCATCTGTTCCAATTCTGCCCTCAATCGGACCAGCCCAGTCGCCAGGAATGAATTGGTGCTTGGGCTCAGATTTTGTACTCAGAAAATTAAAAGAATTAAAGGCCCAGAGAAGGTTTTGCTGGGGCTTAATTTTCACATGCTGGGACCCAGCCCCTACGGCCCCATCCTAATGACGGGGCTGAATCGGACAGAAGCAGAGTAAGTCACATTCAAAATTATCCCATCTACTTCCTTCTTCGCAATTTTGAATTCTGTCTGCATCTACTATTTTTTCAGCACACATGCAGCACATTCTGAACTCCTTTCAAACTTGTTTTATTGAACGTCTGGTTGATTCCATAAATCCCGAACATACTGAACTTGCAAATCAAGCCACTCCATTAAGTATCGTGTCCCAACTTTGTAATAATTTGAATACGTACCTGATAAAAGTTGTATCATAAAACCACCAGTTAATTTTAATACACCTCTTTCAACATACTGCAGAAATAACCTTAAATTGATAGGAAAGATATATAGTTTCAATATTTCATAAGGGTTCAAATTCAGTTATATTATTTATTTGATCAAACTGAATTTGTTTTAAAAGGGTTAATATGAGAGCAGAGTGTATTGAAGGTTAAAGGAGCAGTATGTAAAAAGTTTTCATTATCTAAACATCGTTAATTATACCTGAAAATATTTCTAAAGTATGCTATTTATATCCATGTATCTATTTGTTTTAAAATGGTTAATTTAAAACTATTTAAAACAATTTAAATGGTGAATTTACAACAGTTAATTTAAAACGGTTAGTTTAAAAAGGTTAATTAAAAAAAAAACAACAACAATAAAAAAAACGGTTTATTTAAAACGGTTAGTTTGAAACGGTTAGTTTGAAACGGTTAGTTTAAAACGGTTAGTTTGAAACGGTTAATTTAAAACAGTTAGTTTAAAATGGTTAGTTTAAAATGGTTAATTTAAAACAGTTAATTTAAAACGGTTAGTTTAAATTAAAATGGTTAATTTAAAACGGTTAATTCAAAACGGTTAATTTAAAATGGTTGATTTAAAACGGTTAGTTTTAAATGGTTAATTCAAAATGGTTAATTTAAAATGGTTAATTTAAAACAATTTAAACGGTGAATTTACAACAGTTAATTTAAAACGGTTAGTTTAAAAAAGGTTAATTAAAAAAAAAAAAAAAACAATAAAAAAAAAACGGTTAATTTAAAACGGTTAGTTTGAAACGGTTAGTTTGAAACAGTTAGTTTAAAATGGTTAGTTTAAAATGGTTAATTTAAAACGGTTAATTTAAAACGGTTAATTCAAAACGGTTAATTTAAAATGGTTGATTTAAAACGGTTAGTTTTAAACGGTTAGTTTTAAACGGTTAATTCAAAATGGTTAATTTAAAATGGTTAGTTTAAAACGGTTAATTTAAAATGGTTAATTTAAAATGGTTCTTGCTTAATTTATTCATACTTATTAGTTAATTTTTGTTAAAATTTTTGTTAAAATTTTTGTATCTAAATTGATTTAAATCACACACTGTACTTTAGTGTGATCAATTTCATGGGATGTGTGAATTGGGAAAGCGTGTGACCCATTATAATCAATAATTTCACAATAAAATAAAGGAAACTTACGTTATATTCAAACATCTAAAAGCCATTGATGTAAAATAAGTGTGAAAACCTGAAATCAAAATTACAATTTTTTGTTCACCCAGCACTACATCAGGGGTTTTGAACCTGGGGGCAATTTTTGGAAAATTTTTAGGGTAATGGGGTTACTTAAAATACATAATTGAAAAAAAAGTTTTTGTCATTTTATTTCCTCAATTTCCTCATTGCCTCCATTATGCTTCCTTGGAAATGAAGTCTAGTCCTTCCAGAACAGGTAATAACATCATTTGATCAATTGTTTCCTTTCAAGAATAATTAAGACGTGAAAAACAGAAAGAAATTTACTTGGAATTACCTGGTGGAAACGGAAAAGATATCTCGGTTAATGTGAGATAATAACGTTCTAATAATAGAAACATATTATAATCTTCAACACTACCGCATTCATACCTACAAAACATTCGCAGAAAAATAGGATGTAAAACTCCATTCATTTCATTTTTTTAACATAATATTTTTTTTTCTTATAAATATATTTTTTATTCAAATGAAACTGAAAGAAATTGGAGAACTTGCTTTCACTTTTCTCTCCAATAAAACATTTCATTTTAATAATCAAACAAAATGCTATTCTTTACATGAACATGCAGGAGGCGGGACTTAATATGTCAATCATAATTACAATCTTTATACAGTACAGAAATGTAACTTGTAAATTCTATGTTAACATAGATACAGTCTTACTGTCGAGGAATCTAATTGGCTGCCTTCACTAGTGTACAATCTAATCAAATCGCTGCATTTAAAAACTTCTGTGATACAAGAAAGGTGACCATTGTCTTTCTAAAGACACAACATCCAATGATCAGATAAACAACTCACAGTTTAGGCTGTGTTTCATCACTGCTGTTCTCCTGTCCACAGACATTCCATAGAAAATGACACAGTTGTTTAGTTTGTACAGCCTATAACAATAATTATTTATCTCAGTAATTTATCCCGCAAAAAACTCCAATTATTCATATTTCAATCAAAGCATTGGTCAAGATTATACTTCAAGATTTTCTTCTAAAATATTCTTTGAGGGGGCAGGCCTCCCCCTGGCCCCCCAGTAGCTACGGGCCTGAAGTGACAAATACTGACCTGACAGGCTACAAATTCTTGAGCAATGTTTTTAGCTTTGATTCTCCATTCTTTTTTCAAATATTGTTCCAAATGATCTGTTAAACAATTCTCTACCTGAAATGATGTCAAGGTCATCAGATTTAAGGTCATCATTTAAATGTCAAATGTCGTGAATGTCAATGTTTACAAATTTCTAAATCATCATTTTGAGATGTCAAGGTCATCAAAATTCAAGGTGTCGCTCGATATCGTTATTCCTAGATTTCCATTTAAATGGCATTATATTTTCATTCTCATTACCTGCTTATTGATCCCTGGCGTTTCTCGGCTTATCCTGTTTAAAAAGTCTGGCACACTACCAAACGTACTTTCAGCAGAACTGGACGATCTAGTAGATAGACCTGAACTCTGTTTTGATATGCTGAAATACATATACCAAACTGTTATTAGATTTGTAGACTCCCACAGATGTATGGATGTAAATTAGACAAACCTGGTAACTAAGGGTGACTGAATGGTCAATAATAATAATCAATACATAAATGAGCGTTGGTTTTTCTTAACACTTTGTGTCATAAAATTTGAATAAATCAAATTGCAAAAGAGTTTAGAGGAGGCTTTTGTCATATTGTAATATTGTTGTCTTAAAACACTTAGTCTGTATTAAGAGTTAGCTCCCTTGAGAGAGTGGTTGAGAGCCTGAATAAAGACAGTCTCGAATTTTATATAGTGTGTGATTCATCATTGAATCAAGGCAATCCTGGGAAACTCGGAAACAAAAGAACGCTAGACCTACCTGGGAAAATCTTTCTCTTCATCCAGGAAACTTGACGAATGATCTTCTTTTACCTTCTGAAATGAGTCATAGAGAAGTCCAGGTTTAGTTTTTATCACATAGAGTCCAAAACATGGTATGAAACAATCCAGAAGATGTAATTAGTTGGGCTTACGAAGACAAGCTACACCAAGAAGTGTCTTACTTTTGTAACTGTTGAGGGTTCTTTTACAGAAACAGTCTGTAGCACACAGGACCATGGTTTATAGTCTCTTCCACTAGGACTGCAGCATTGGCCAACAGTTCTATTTCTTGCCCTATCCAAACATATCAAGATGCAGACGTTATCCTAAAATGGTCCTACCTCTTTCAGCTGTTTGTCTAGAAATTTGGAAATGGCGTCTAATTTATAGCGAGGTTCTGGTTCTATCTGTTTTAACTGTAACATACGTCGTAAGGAATCCCACAAGTCCTCACTCTGACGGAAATGACGTTCGCGAGCTGTTTTAGACGTTATGTTTATACTATCTACAGACGAATAGGTTACAGTTGCCATTCTCTCTTCTGATTGGTTCTTAAAAATAAAATTCAAATATTGACCAATTAGCTATCACTTAATACACTAATCGAGTAAAGATTCTTTTTTGAAACACATTTTGTTTCAATGAATCTTATTGGTCAAGAGGTAATTAATCAACCAATCAAATTCAGTAATAGAAAAAAAAAGTTAAAGTTGTGGAAACTTGACATCATTTACATTTGTTCAAAAATAATGGTGGTTGTGGCTCATTATTTCAGTCAACCACGAATATAAATATGGCATTGATAGATCAAAGGAAAGATGGCTGACTGTGATTAATTGCAATGATTTGAGTATGTATTCTTACTCTTTCAAGTTGACCTTTATAGGGTTCTACAGAAGTAAAAGGTAACAGTCTAAGGATGTCCTTTTCTAACTGTCTCTTCATACTGATATAGGTACTAGCTGAAAGAAAAATATGAGTTCAAATTATCTGGAAACGGTTAATGAACTGGATATCCTTGGCTACTATTTTCTGGAGGGTAAACAGTTAGTTAATTCAATCCCCTGGTTCCCAAACTGGGGTATTTTCACCCCCTGGGGGTGTGGGTCTAGAGTGACAGGGGTGAGGCCAACTGGTGTAGGAGAAGAATACATTTTGAATTGAGAGCTCCTCACATCAACAAATTTTTGAGGGTGTGAAAGGTCCAGGTGATTGCTCCAGGTGTGTGAAAGCTGAAAAAGGAACCACCAATTTAATCTGAAATGACAGTCTAAATGTCTTATGTACAATTTGTAAAATTTTGGAGAACGGGATTTCAAATTTGAATTCTGAAAGGAGATACATATAGCTTATAAAAAACTAAGAAAACAATAAATTTTTTTTACTTGGCAATGATCTTTCCTAGATTATAGAATCAAAAAACTCACCAACAAGATATTCAGCTAGAAATAATTTTAACTTAGTATTTGTAACGTCTTCACAGATATTCTCAAACAACTAAAATTAAACAACACGACATTCAGACATCTTTTATAACTTAGGTTCACACGGACCCTGTTGATCAGCTTATCCTTGACTAAACTTCTTGGTATTAATCTTTCTCGGATTATCCATACCTTTACAACTGGGTCAACTGGAATTTTGAGGAGAGAACACTTGTTCAAAGTCGTCAGAGTTTCACTTGCCAACCAATATTAAAACCCATGACAATGATGTATTCAAAGAAACCAAGCCAATGATGCATGTAAAAATTCAAACACTCTAACCGACTGTGCTACAAACTGTCCTCAGCATTTGTACCAAATACTGACCTTTTTAATGATAAATAAGTCTTTAACTCTAGTCAGTATATAATGTACTATAGATAGTTTATTGGTATAAGATGTAGTATAAAAGTACTGTAACAGTATTTCTGGTTTAATAACCGCCTGCCATACCACACAATTCTTCTGATCAAATACAAGACCATTACCTACAAAACAGCAGAAAATATTAACATGAGATACAACAATCATTTTTCCCATTGAACACAAATCCACAGGTTTTTGTTGACATTGTAAATAATCTTAGGATTCAATTGCAAGTAACCAAGGAAATATAATATAAGCTTTCATTTGTCCCTAACCTGAAGTCTCCCTCAAGAAGCCAAAACAAGGTATTAAAGATCGGATATTCGGCCCCATTAAATTGGTCACTGGAAATACAGCTGGTTGGGAGGTTGATTTTGGCACAGTAGGGCTCTCATCTTGGGAAGTTGAGGTCTCATCTGGTGACATAGAAGATGCAGATGGCATCGCTTCATCCTCTGTTGTTGATTTGTCTTCATACAAGGAAGAGGATGATCTGGTACTCGAGGAACGCCTTATTTTGGTCACGGTACTATTTGGCTTATCTGCAAAGGAGTACAGAAAAATAGTGATATTTCGTATTTTCTATCTGACCCTGTAGCCACACCTCCAAATCCTGTGACTCCTCCCCTTCCTACCCAACATACACCTCACACTCCTTTGCCCTTCTAACTCCGCCCCTAATATACCTTTCATATAATTGAAAGAGTCACACCAAACAACAATTTATTGTTTTATTCAATGCTAACATTTACCACCCCTTCCTACCCATCTGACATACAAACACTTTCCATAGATCCTGTTGTCACGCCCCTCAATTCTGTGTCCACACCCCTTCTATAACTTACTGTGTAGTAGTATATGATGACAGGGCTCATATTCAATGCTGACATTCAATAAATGTAGAAAAGTACCTGGTAACATCACCATTAAATAATCACCTGTAATAACAAAAGTTGAAAATTGACAGACCTACCGGTAATACTAAAATCAAAAATGACCAGTCATGTTAGATCTCAAAATGGTTTGTAAGGTAGTTTGTACTTTGAGGCACCATTTCCATACCTAATGCTTGACTGAATGTGAAAACTAGAGTGCACCTACCTGACCATTGAAATAACAGACGTCGATTGTGAACTGTGGATTTATCTATTCCATTAATACAACCATGAATAGTTTTAGCTGAAATCAACAAGTTATATTCATTCTTTTTTTCACTCATTAAAGTTTTCCAAACAGAGGCAATGCTTGGCAGTGTACAATGAGGAAAATCAATCTACTTTTTATCAATTTGCAATTGTCAAGTGATGTTTATCATACACTTGGCTTATTGTCCCATCCAAATTTGTTGACGCCCTTTAATGCCAAATTCACAAGGTTTAGTGGAATACCAGAACCACAGACAACTGTTTAGACAGAAACTGAAATTTCCAGACATACATACAAAGACTAGAAAATGATTGAGTTAACTAATAATCAAATACTATTTACCATGATGTACCATTAAAATATAATAGTTGATATCTATATCATTGTGTTTTTCTTCAGATTTCTAAAATATACCAAAATAATTACTTGAAACAAGTATTCAATTTACAGACTGCCCTCAACAGCAATTTACTGGGTGATTGTAAGTTTGTTAACAAGCTTTTAAATAATTTGTAAATAATTTGTAAATAATTTGTAAATAATTTTTTAACAATTTGTTAATAATTTGTTAATAATTTGTAAATAATTTGTAAATAATTTTTTAACAATTTGTTAATAATTTGTTAATAAGTTGTTAATAATTTGTTAATAATTTGTAAACAATTTGTTAATAATTTGTTAATAATTTGTTAACAATTTGTTAATAATTTGTAAATAATTTGTTAACAATTTGTAAATAATTTGTAAATAATTTGTTAACAATTTGTAAATAATTTGTTAATAATTTGTAAACAATTTTTAAATGATTTGTAAACAATTTGCTAATGATTTGAAAATAATTTCTAAATAATTTGTAAATATTGTGTTTACCTGTGATTTTCTAGACCGTATTAAATGTTGGTAGCAAATGCAAACTGAACCATTACTTTGACTTAAAACTTGTATATTCAAATCAGCATCTAAAACACAGAAATCTTCATAATTATATATAATGAACCAGACTGTCTGATTTACAGGCCTGAGTAATAGAGTAAATTGAGACCAGTCTGAATGAAAGCACAGGCCTAGGTCACAGAGAAATAGATAAGCTTACTGATTATGTGAAAATGAAAAATTCAGGAATTCTGAGTTCAACAAAAGGACTGGAAAGACATGGGCAACTGATGGCAATTGTAGTTAGTTCGCTTAGGTCAGCTAAAGCCAACAATTGATCAGATTCTACCAGATGTCGCAAGTTTCTAGCAGACGCTGAAAATCCCGTTGCTCTTAAGATTTTGCAAGGACAACTGGAGGAGGGTAACACATCAACTCAAGTTGTGCTATATAGGGAAACACAGAAGATCTACTGACCTGGAATACCTGGACAAAGTGGTGATTCTGTATATCTACATCTTGAATAAAAAAATAAATACGATTTTAAAGAACACACGGTATATATGACAGTGCTAGAAACCTTTTTACAATTCCCATAGCACATAATATACATATATTACATATGTTGTCATCAGATGAAATGAAATCTGGGCACTTGGTATCACGCAATCCAAGTGGATAACAGCGGTTACGTGCATTTGGTTTATATCTGTGTAAACAGAATGTAAATATAAGCTCTGCCCCTTTTCCAAATTCCCTATAAAGTGCACACTCCAAATTCCAACAATATCATGATTTCGTATAACACCAAATATTTCGTGCCAGTCCCATGATATTGTAAACGTAAATTTAAACTTGACAACAGACATACCACATGTCCGAATTTTAATTACCTTATTTATATATCTACCCTATCTCTCAAATGACCTTCACCTTTGTTTTATCCTCCATCTTTAATCCTGATATTTTTATGGTATCGCTATTTAATTGTTTGATTGAAAAGATATATTTTATTGTCCATGGTAGCTTTGTTAATATATTTAATTCCGTATGTTTGACCTCTCTTCATATTTCATCAGACGTTCACACGTGATGAAACTCATGTTGAAAAACATGTGTTTAGTTATTAAAAAAGTAATCAATGCCACGTGTATGTTTTTATTCATTTTTTATTTCATCAGCGTTTAAACCAAGGTCATAGTTAATCCAAGTTTAAATAAGGTAGGCACAGGTGGTTTCAAAATACTTCATTAAAACAGAAAGTATGATTGACGATTTAGAAGTATTGCCTCCTTTGCCACTATTACGCCACTGCCTTTACACTGGTCCACTTTATCTAATTAGCTTTGAATGAGGCAGTGAATTTGATCCATTCTAAACAAAATGCCCCCTTATATACAAAAAGGTTTACCCCTGATTTGATTCCTGAGTTACGTGTGTGTTTATATTCAAGTGTTACGTGTGTGTGTTTATATTCATGTGTTAAGTGCATATGTTTATATTCATATGTTACGTGCGTGTGTGTTTATATTCATGTGTTACGTGCATGTGTTTATACATTAGTTTTTATATTTACAACAAATGCCGTTTTTTAATCTATCCATATAACAAAACGAAAGTCCTTTAACATATAAATGTTATGAAATCGGGTTAAAATGAAATACAATCTTACCTGGAGGCTGATCTGATGTATGGAAATGGAAAATTTAACGGAACATCTAGCTGAAATGAAAATAGGCTAAATTATATATTAGGTGATCTTGAAAATTTTCTAATTATTCCTGAAGTCAGACAGTAAGAAGAACTGATTTTTTAACCTTGAATAATTTGAAATTCTCGACACGTGGAAATAAATCATGTGACTTCTACCATGTACATTTCCCATCACGTCTTTACAATCAGCAACTTTTTATTGTCTAAGTTTTTGTAAACAAATCATAACAATAAAAAAATATCGAAAGAGAAAATTCTATCATATTCTAGAAAAACAATAATGGTGGCCACGGATAATGTTCACAGCTGGTCTGTGATCAAACTCATGTAGTGAATGATGAAAATGAAAATGGAATGGATTTAAGTTTTCTCGCAATGTCTAGTGTGAAATATTGAAGACAGAGAATACCATGGAGCGTGCAACAAGGGAAACTCTGCAAAGCTTTGCTAGGTGTCCAGCAGAAGTTAATTTTTTCGAATTCCAAACTGTTGAGCGACCTTAAGATGCACAGTCTGGTTTTCATGTCCCATCAGCCCCTATATTATTCAAATACGGACTCCAAGTCACCATCACACCATACATTTTGCAGTAAGGGAAATTTTACCAGGACTGCAGCATTATAACATCTTTTCCAATTACAACTGTCAATGGATCTTAAACTAACACAGCCTGTAAAAGACCTTGTGGCTTTTTCTCATCTTATTCGCATGACTTAACAATTTCTTATGTCAGCCACTCATAAATGACCTAAACCAGTGCTTTTATGAGACTAATCTCTCATCAGCACCTTGTTTTATCATAAATCTTTACTCTGTGAACCTAGACCAGTGCTTTTATGAGACTATGTTCTCTTCGGCACTTTTTCTCACAAGTCTTTACTCTGTGACCTAGACCAGTGCTTTTATGAGAATATACTCTCTTCAGGACTTTTTCTGAAAAATCTTTGTGACCTAGGTCAATAATAATCTGCCGATGATAAAAAAAAAATTTCATTAATTTTCTTGAGGGCTGTCACAAGACTTATCAAGCTAAGCAGATCAAACAGATTACAAAAAATTAAAAAGATTATAACACAGTAAATTGGTCAAGACTATAGACTTGATCTTGTGGTCTCGATTAAAACTAATAATCTTATTAAATTCTAACAAGGACAGGATTATCCCAACCAATTTGCCGATAGATCCACTGGAATAATGAGGAAAGATGACTTATTCAAGGTCGCTAGACTTTCACATGCTGATCGAGATAAGAATCTGCCACCACATTTTGCATAAGAAAATTATCAAAAAGACAAAGGTCCATAACCCATGACATATCAGTGATTATAAAGCCAAAATTTCATGAATATTCGTTAGAGCTCCACCCACATGGAAATTGTCAAGAGCTCCACCCACATGAAAATTCTCAATAGCTCCACTCAAATGAAAATTCTCAAGAGCTCCACCCACATGAAAATTCTCAAGAGCTCCACCCACATGAAAATTCTCAAGAGCTCCACTAACCTGAACATTTTCAAAAGCTCCACATACATTAAAATTCTCAAGAATTCCACCTACATGGACATTTTTGCAAGAGCTTTTCTCAAAAGCTCCACCCACATGAACATTCTCAAAAGCTCCACCCACATGAACATTCTCAAGAGCTCCACCCACATGAACATTCTCAAAAGCTCCAGCCACATGAACATTCTCAAAAGCTCCAGCCATATGAACATTCTCAAGAGGTCCACTAACCTGAACATTTTCAAGAGCTTCACCCACCGTCACATTTGATGTAGGCATATAAAAATGAAAATACTAACCATGTTGTCAAACCTGGCGTTCTGGTAGAACTGTAGACAAGAATATTTGGGGTATATTTTATCCGGGTTGGCGCTATGCCTGGTATTGTGTACGTAATGTAAGGTTTGAGTCAGTCCATCCCATTGACACCATACAAACTTATTAACTATCTGTTCTGTTCTTGGTTGATCATTCATAATCTACAAACAGGCAACCACATCTTTAAAATTATATACCGTATAATTGTTATTAAAATGCGCACCCATTCTTGCCGTCCAGAAAATCTGGAAAAACGTTCATCAATACCTCTTAGCTAAGTATATACGGTATAATTGTGGACATAGTGCCCACCCCTTTTTACTCGAGTCGAGTAAATTTGAAAAAATCTGGTAGTTTACATAGAATTTATAATGACATCTCATAAATGAGTTCAAATGAAAAAAGAGATTCTTACCACACCCTTGTCTCCCATTCTAGCCAGTGGTATATGATACAGTCCAATAGCTGGGAAAAAAAACAAATTTAGGGGCATTATTCTTTGACACCTAAACTTAGATGATTTTGGTGTTCCATTAATCTGATTGGTCAATCACTAAAATTTATTTTAAATTTAACTATATTAACCAATCAGATTACTGTATTACAGTAAATTCTTCAGTGTGGTCCAAGATCAGATTTGTTGATCAAAGGCTAGAAGTCAAGGACTTGCTTGAATACCCTTGCTAAATCAAATGAAATTCTCCATATTGAGCTCAAGGCAAACAATGCCATGCAGTTTGCTATGAGGAATATTTTGTTAGGACAGTAGCAACACCCTACAAATTTTTCTCCATTAAAGGATCTTTAACATATAAACATAGGTCCTTAGTTTATCTTCCAAAATCTTTGACCAGATGACTATTCCATGCTAGCCTCCCACACCTGCATCACTGACAATAGGTGACAAGTCTGAAGATTCATCCACCTGGTTTTTGGGCTCTCCTACTTACATTCTTTGTGAAGGAACACCAGCATATGTGCCTCTCGTGTCGTGTTGACTTCCTTGCCACTGGGATACAGAAACTGTACCTTTAAGAAGTTGGGTCGTTCTAAATTCAGGGAAAACACCCTTTCACCCGTAGCTTGCAGTTCTGCTAAAAATGCACTGTATTTGTCTACAATTAATGAAATGTAATGGAGTTTTACTTCCGAACTATCTACACCATCGAGTGTGCAATGAGGGAAAATTAGCGTACTCTTTTTTCGATTTCTACTGTGCTTACCAAGGATTTATCCTTATCTATACCTACAGCAAACCCAAGACTTGCAGTTTAGAAAGCATCTACCTTCGACGAGGATATCGTCTGGGACTTGTAATTACAATTTCAAACTTTCTCAAGGGAGATAACTACTATTAAGTATATTTTGATCTACAAGTCTCAAATTACTTGTTTACAACAGAAACATATTGGCAACCCCCCAGTTCTTTCAATTTATATTTATATATATATGACTAGACACGATTATATGGATTACAATTATCCTAATAAATAACTTGCGATGTTTCGAAGATGATGCTGTCGTCTTTATCAAGCAATGATCATCGAAATGTCGCAAGATATTTTATTAAAGTAATTGTTATCTATATATTTGTGTCCAGTTGTTCATACCCCAGTTACTAAATGCCACTCAAGGAAATTACCAGTTTATATTTGATATTTTCATTTGCTATCGTTCAATGTACAGCTTCCTTGAGCTTTGAATACCTAATCGAAGCCATGGTCATAATTAGGCTTCTGAATTATTACACACGGAAGTTCAACTTTTAATACATTTGGTTAACAACTAGTCAGATTCAATAACCAATGAAGACTTTGGGGTAATCTTTCAGGCTCTATTTTGTCACAGCTGTGTCCAGACAAAGTGAGGCTGGATGATAGAGGCTATTCTGGGGAAAAGACAGAGAAAAATGGGGCTGATTGAAAACTTGTGTACCAACCTTGACCTTGGTGAGGCTCTTGTGAAGAACTGTTTTTAGTTACTAGGGTTAATGCTAGTTAAAATCAAAAAAGTTAAAATGATTAAGACAAATTTTTAAATGTTTTAAAAGGATTGTAAAGACGTTTTTTAACCTTTTTGTTGCTCTTGGGACACTGATAGCATCGATTTGCATCATTCCAATTTTCAATCAGACGTCTGCGGTTCTTGCAATTTCATTACAATGGAGCATTCCATAACATCGCTATCGCCCTGAGATATAACTAACATATTTTGTATTAGTGAAGTCTTTTTTGATTAATCATTTCTATAATTACAGAAACCACAGACGTCTGATTGAAAATTAGAATGGTGTAAATTGATGCTATCAGTGTCCCTAATATACATTAAAAGTAAAGTAAAATCTCTTTACAATCCCTAAAATTGAGATACAACCAAAAAAGTTTTTAAGTGGCAATGTACCTTAATTTACAGGGTATAATAAGTAGTGCTGGGTATCGTTAATCATGTCACTATACGATACATATTGCAATACAAGGGGCACGATATGATACATATTGAGATACAATGGGCACGATATGATACATATTGCGATACAAGGGTCACCATGGGATACACATTGCGAAAGACCAAAATTGACTTCATGACGTCAACCAAAAGAAAAACCTGTATATTACTGATCAATAGAATAGGAGACAGGATTTTAAAAAAACTGTTTTTATAAATCCAACAGGCTCTCCCAATTTAAGATATTTTTATTTGCACCTATCAAATCTAAAGGGCAATGTGGGTCAGCTTCTTCCATGTTTCACTAAGTCACATGACTAGCAAACCAGCCAATCAACATGCTTCTACACAGTAATTTTTGTGTGTGTTTTGTAAATATGAACATTATATGAGTACAGTCAATCCTTCTCTATTAAAAAAGTTCTTTTGAATGGTTAAAATTTAAGGTTCCATATAAAACTGTTGGATAAGGTGAACCACAGTCCCATCTATTTATTCATAAGGTGGTGTGGTTTAAATGACTGACGTGCTAAAGCCCTTAATCAGACTTTCCCTTTAAGTTAAAAAAATCAGACTGCCACTTATAGTTGAATGTTTCTTACCAAGCAAGGATCTTTCCTGGTTGATGGAACAAGATACTATTTTAATCTTTTGGTTATAAATCCAGATAACTTTATGTGAACGAGAGACATGGTCATAAATACCAACATGTGTTACTGCTGTTTCCGTCTGAAATGGACCGCAAAATAAAATAAGTACAGGTATCAAATAGGCTTACTTATCAATATACAGATCTGGCCTCTGTCAGACATCAGGCAATGATAAAGTTCTTAGCCTCACAATTTGATCCCCAAGTTTTTCTACATCCTCACACAATCTTAGCACTCGAGAAGACTTGATTTATTCATTAAAAACATCAATTAATCAAACAATAAACATGACTTGACCAAGAAATATAAGGAATGGCAACTTGAATATTAATTTCACCGAGAATGCTTCATATAAATCAAATAATTTGAAAGGGTGGATTTTCTGACACTAAATTAGAAGTAAGGTGTGCCATCTTGATAAAAACAGAAACGAGTCCCCATGACCCATAAAATATTTTATATCAAACATATACTACCTCTTACGATGACCAAAAAATTTAAATTTTAAACTTGGCTAAAATGAGTATACAGTCAAACTTGTAACAACGGCCACTAAATATCAAGTTAACATGAAGTTCAACACTATTTAACACCACCCCCTGGATGCAGCCAGCATTAAATATCAACTTTTCCTTCTTCATTCATTGAGTACATCATACTCTGAACCATCTCTCTCTGTTAAGCAGTCAACTTTAAGCGTTGCCCTGATCGCTTGCTTAATACAAGTTTTACTGTATATACATTCATCAGTGGACTTACCTGATGTCACAAAAAATCCCTCTATAATCCAATAAATACATAAAACTAAGTAATGATTAATTAAATTAAGTAATAATTAATCAAACTAAGTAAAATTTGGAATGGGTATCAAACATAAGTGTCAGAATGCACCAAATCCATACAATTTTTACAAAAATGTTCTTCAGAGTTGCTGCATTTTGAATCTCAGCCTCCACTGTTTGTACCCCCAGTCTTGGGAGACTAGCGCCGCATCTATATTAAACTAATATCCTTGGCTTTTTTTTTCACACATGCTGCCTACTCATCAGTCGAAAAAATTACGAAATACCAAATTAAGTTACATAGTCTAGGGTAATTGAAATAGAAAATAGCTCATTAAATACCTTTGTTAGAGAAGAAAAGTCATTCCAAGTAAATAAAACACATCCATCTCTTTCTTGGTTAACTATTCTTGGATGTAATGGCCTATCTTCTAAATTATAAACAGTCAAAAGTTAATTAGTGGCTGGTGGGTACAGGAAAGTTAGACAAAATTCTCCTTACTCATTCTGCCATAGCTAATTGTTTGCTCTGTTTTAAAGCCACCTCCATATATTTTTGGGTTATTATGGAAAATCCAAAACCTAAGCCAGTGTTAAAGATGGGTTCCCTTTTCATTTATGAAAATAAAAATGCTAATACTTATATGAATAGAAAGTAGAGGTGTTCTAATGACTTGGAAAAATACCAGTTTGTCTCACATGTCATAATTACTTCAAAATTAGCTAAATTAGAAGAGAATTACCAGCAGAATTCCAATGAGTGACCAATCAAGAAAGGTCAAAGGTCTTTTTTTTTGTTTTTCCAGACTGTACATGCATGGACATTTGCGATTGGTTAAAACTCTTAATTATATGCAATAAGAACATAATGATATGATTAAGAATACATGATAATTCATTAGGAACACCAATTAATCAAATAGTTTGTTTAATTTTACACCAACACATAAGGAAACCCATCTTTAAAGGGATATCACCTTTCAGAAGGGAGTTTTGACATCCAGTACATCTACAATTATGACAATCATATACTAAGAGTTATCTGAATTTCCTGGCTGTTGTAAAAAAATATAATGCAGTCAGGCGTTGATTATGAATTTATATTATCGCAATATCTTCTGCCATCACTATAATCATAAAATTTTATTAATTGTAGACTAACCTGACTCCTTTGTTTTCATTTTATTTTGGAAACTGAAGAAGAAAATTTACCTGGAGTCTTCAGTTCCTTTCTCCTTGCAACAAGAAAACTTTTTATAGACTCCAATAAACTTGTGATTTTATGTAGTTCCATCTTGATATTGGCTCAAACTGCAATAATCATACCGGTCAGTTGACATGACTTTATTTGTAGGCCTATTTAATAGGGTTCCCCCCTGTCAGAGACAGCCTACAGATCAGAGCTTAGTTATGGAAAAAATGGGCTTATCATTCTCATGGACAATGGGCCCTGTGTGCTACAGACTGTGCATGTTTAAGATCCCTTGAAAGTTGGCAATCAAGAAGAGTAGATTGGTACTAGTGCCCTGTCAAAATTCTCCTTTTTGTGCACTGCATGGCTTTGCACTTCTAATTAGCATCAAAACAAGTAACGTAAAATTTAATTTCATTTAAGTCATTTCATTCTACTAAGACACAATGTCCCTCATTGCACAATGCATGGCCAGCTTTGCCAGTCTTTTAATCGATCTGTAAGCCTAGACTAGGAGTCGACAGTAGGCTTAGTTAGTAGGTCGGGGCCTACCTACAGTTACTGTAAACTAACCTCGACTCCGATTCATTTTATTAGGGCTATTTCTGCCATTGCCAGAATTAAGAACGACCCAAAAAAGAAATCAACTTTTGTCATCCCTTCTATCTTAAGCATCTGAAACAGGTTTTTACCTGAATAACTTGGAATTTGGTGCCAATTGTAGAAACTAAATGTGGATAAAATTGTTTCTGAAAGTCGCCATTTTGAGAATCACGTGATATTCCGGACGAATGAAATCGAAACTGTCTGAAATTTTCGGAAACGAAATGTAACTCAAATAATGATTTCACATAATTGAATTGTAAATCTAACAATTTTTCGCGTAAAAATTTGAAATGGCTTTACAAATGGGATTTTTTTTCTGTTTAAGAAATGAGCCTATGCATTCAAAAATCCTCTAGCTTTGCTGAAATTATTGCAGAATCATTGAGTTTCTATAGTGACATTTCTATTTTACATACATATACATAGACAGTTTCAAGAAAATTGTCGAATGATGTCAAGGTATAAGACATAGTTTGACGTTGATTAGAAGTCGTTACCCCAGCTGGATATGATTACCATTAATAATTGTAGTTGGCAGGGTTTTAATCATCTTTGCAACAAACAATCACCCCCCCCCCCCCCCCTCCCTCAGGCATTTTACTAGATACGCTACTGCCTGGTTCGTTTTAAATGCAGATCTGGATATTTTGGTTAAAAAGGTTTCGAATTTTATTTCGATAACAGAGGAAAATTCTATATTTGAATTGTATCAAAAATATCTTTATCGTGCTTTAATAGTCTTAAGAAGTACTAAAACGCACGAAAACCTCATAATCCCTTCAAATATAACTCAAACTAGAAATTGCACTGTCTATATGTTTTCAATTTATTGCATGGTATCACTGAATTTCGAGTCGAGATTTTAACTTTTAGACGTGAATAAATATTTATACACATGGATTTGAAGGCTCAAATTTTGACGATGGGCTGTGAACACTATTACTGATTGTATAAACCAAATAAATCCTGTTTCTGAAACTAAGGTATGATTGGTCAAACGGATAGTGAAGGTGCTCCTTTAAAACATCAAATTTTGTGAGCATCATAAGAGGTGGTATTTCTTTAAGAACAATATTGAGAAGGATTCAAACCAAGAACAATCTATGTTATTGTCAAGTATAAATCCCAACACGTGTTCAATTAACTTCTTAAGGTGAAGCAGTTAAATGCTTCATTAACATACGAAAAGATCCAAAATAAACATCTTGAAAATTAATTAAAGATAGAAAACAAAGTTAATAATCTAGCTCTTTCTTTCATTATTGCTCAATTATTTCTATAAAGATATCATAATTTTCTGTTTTCCAAAATTCAAAAGGTAATAATCAAGAAAACATGTTCCATTTCAAGCATCACGTGAACATAATCAAAAATATATCAATTCACAACAAATGTGTGAACACGTTATAACACCTTTTTGAACACAACAAGAAGGCACGTCTTATTACTTAATTTCAAACCTCATTTAACTAGGTGTATTCCACACTAGACCAATTTGGGATCACAGTTTGATTTAAGGACATTATTTTATTACGCAGTTGGGAAATGTTCAAAAAAAAAAAAAAAAACCATCATAACCTGAAAAGGAAAAAAAGAAAAAACAAGAAGAAGCATTTTAGATGGAAATTCAACTTTTTCATCAAAATAACAATTCAAACTACGTGTAACATCAATTCACCCAATCCAATATAAGAATTCCAAACAAAACAAACAGCTATAGTCATCCAAACTAGTTAAATGTCTATTTCATTTAATATACAGTGGCTCAACTACTATAGGGACTGGTTGAACTAAGTTCAAACCTTACGATGGCCCCACCCCCAGCAAAAATTCAAAATCATAAGAAAATGTACCGAAATCTTTACTGCAGACTTGAACTCTTTCATTCTCATTTTCATTAAATTGACCTAGACAAGTCTTTGAAAAAATTCCCAAGGGGAAGAGCCCGTCCATCTTTGGATTTTGAAGTCTTAAGGTAAAATTACCCAGGCGCTTTCAGAGCATACGCTGATGAAAAAAGAACGGGTATGCTGATGAGATGAATATTACAATAATTATTTGATTCAGTTTCAAAAAGATCAGGAAGAAAGGACTGATGAACAGAGATGGGAACATAATGTGTATGAGTCGGATGAATAACGAAACCAGGTAGTCCTATAGATTCATTCCCATCCATTCTTAGATTGGTGCTTTGTAAGCAAGACTGTCCACCATTATTTGCATTATTCGAAATATTATTCTTATGACTGCGACTTGGACCGCCATCGCTTCCGGAGGATGAATCGCTGCCCGGGTCTCGCGAATATCTATGACGTAAGGTATGTTTAAATTTAGAACACGTCTTTCCGCCATTTGGATTTCCTCCGGCATTGTCGTCTGATGATGTTTGGTTTCCCGTGGTTGAACCATTGGTGCTGTATTGAATGGATAGACATGAATCAGAGTAAGAATCTAAACCAGACATGATAGTAAGACTATTGCCAACTTTCATCAGAGGAAATTCACTACAATCACTTGAAACACTTTCTGGAGATTTTTCCCTGATCAAGGTTGTAGCTTTAGCTGTGTCTTGATTTGGTGATGCTTTCATTTCTGGGGGCCGAGACTGCTTAATTTCTTGTAGTACATTTTGATGCTGGAAATCTTGATACTTTGACATTTCTGGAACAAAAACCAAAGAGAATAAGAAGCTAGCATTTGTTTACATCGATGAATCATTAAACAGGCAATTTTGACAAGTCATGACTGTTTTCAAACAGGGAAATTTGACAAGTCACGACTGCTTTTAAACAGGTCATGGCTGTTTTCAAAAAAGGAAATCTAACAAGTCATGGCTGTTTTCAAACCGTCAAATTTGACAAGTCATGACCGCTTTAAAACAGGTAATTTTGCCAGGTCATGCCTGTTTTTAAACAGGGAAATTTGACAAGTCACGACTATTTTCAAACAGGGAAATTTGACAAGTCATGACTGCTTTTAAACAGACAATTTGCCAGGTCATGGCACAGAATCTGACAAGTCATGACTTGTGACAGGACATTTTTACGAGTTATGACTTGTTTTCAAATGGGCAAATATGACAGGTGGTGGCCAGGTGTGAAAAAAAAAGCAAAAATGCTTAGCATTCTAACTGAAGCAAGACAATAAGAAATTCCGATTTTGTCATAAAAATACATAGAAAGGCCTACCTTCATCAAAAATTTGCGTTTTTCTCATATTCAGATGTTCACAAAGTCGCAAGTTAAACGGATCATTGTGGCTGACTCCTTCGATTTCCGTTAAAAACTTGATGATTTCACTCTTACACATCTGGAAACCACGGTAAAACGACTCTTTCAACTCCATTGATGGTGCGGGCAATTCTTTTTTTCTACAGAAACATAAAATATGAAAACATAAGCGTTGTGTAGAACAACTTGTAATAATGGAGCGAAAATATAGTAATAGACAGACAGGTATGATCTACACAGACAATAACTAAAGTGTCAACAACTATTACTTTTTGTAAACATTTCCTGCTGGGGTATAGAAACTGGGATGCTAACAACGCCCTGCATATCCACGACGACCGTGACTGTTTGCAGGTCAGAAATTCACAACAGTTTGTCTGCAATATTATGGTAGAAAGAGCCTTGTGTCGTAACAATAGCTAGCCCGACAAATTTGACCCTAAACCCAGTGCCTGTATCTCATCCGAATATCACGTCGGAGGAACTGGGAAGAGCCAAATCTGACCCTACACGTTCTAATATTTCATCATATTTGGAAAGCTAGTTTTTAAAAGCAAACCATGACAAAAGAGGACGATTAGAATGACATTATGTAAGAACAGTTTTTGTAAACATTTCCTGCTGGAGAATAGACTCTAAGCCTTCAGTCCTACCAATACGTCTGGAAAGTTGGATCCTGATATAATGTCTTAGTTTTACTGTTTTATGATAACTGTCAACAACTATTACGATGTGTAAACAATCCCTGCTGGGGTATAGAGTTTAAATCTTCACTCTACCAATACGACTGGCACCTTAGTTTTACTGATTTATGATAACTGTCAACAACTATTACGATTTGTAAACAATCCCTGCTGGAGTATAGAGTTTAAATCTTCAGTCCTACTAATATGTCTGGCAAGTTGGGGCCTAATATGAGGACTAAGTTTTATAGTTTTTTTGATAACTGTCAATAACTATTACGATTTGTAAACAATCCCTGCTGGGGGATCTTCAGTCCTATCAATACGTCTGGCAGCCCGCGTCTTCATAGCAAAATGCAAATAAGACAGTCTAATCAAAATTAGACCAAACTTTCGTACCGTTATTTATTAGTTTATATTTTTAATATATTTTTATTTACGACCTTCTTGAACATTGGTCTGTTTGATGATGCCGCCAGCCAATCAAATTCCTTTCCTCTCAAACGCTGGGATTTTGTGGCGCGAACAAAAGATGCATTTAGGGTATTATTGTATAATGCTTCTCAGAATATACCTTATGTTCGCGTCAAAAATCTAAAGGAAGCAGAACTTTTGAAAAGTGTGGCGGTAAATTCGGTGAACGATATATAGATTATTAAAATATGTGCTAATTGTGTATTTAGTATTAAATGTCTGTGCTGTTTGTTATTATCTAATTTAATATTATATGTGCTATAAACGTTTAAAAATTCAGAAAACCTTTTTACAATCCTGTAAGAACTCAAACCAAGCTCCTTTTCTGAACCGGAAACAAGTGATTTTCTGACGTAATAAAAAAAATAAAATATAAGCTTAATTTCATTTCAAGATTTTGCAACGAAAGAATATTTTTAACGCCTAAAAAAATTGCAAAAATCACATTATTGATTGTGTGATTAGTCCCGTTTTATAAAACCAAGTGAAAATTTATTGTTTTCTCTGACCGTCTTTCCGCCGCCATCTTGAATAATAGCGGACTATTTTGTGATTCGGCTTTTTAAATTAACATGTAGGCTATGTACATAGACTTTTCAAGAATTTTGTATAGGCCTACATGCAGTCAATAAAAATAGCATTAACGAGTACAACTGATATGATTCCTTAGCAAACATTTAAAAAAAATTGAACCGATTACATTTGGCGGACATGAGGCGTAGGAATTTCTAGGTGCTAGAATTAATGAAAACTGTAGACCAAAATGTAGAGAAATGTGTCCCTTACCTTATATGGAAGTATCTTGTCGTTAATTTTCAGGTCGCTAAAACTATTCAAAACTTTTACGTAATGTTTTAGGTTCGTTTTTAAAAACTAATATACGGCTTTAAGCAAATTAGAAGCCAAAATTGTAGAGAAAAAATGTCTCCTACTTATTCTGAAGGTTCAACTAATGATATCGAGCTGTTAATGACGGCAATTATCACATACCGTTTTTTATATTTAATCCTTGCCAACAAAAATCAGGTTGATCATTTATACAATAGGACGTCTAAGAAATATTTTAGAAATCTTATCACGTATAATTTCATTTAATTTTTGAACTTTGCTTCCAGTAAAGCTGAAAAAATTGAAAATTTTGATCACTTTTCATGTTGTGGGTTGTGGTTGCCATTGGAACTTGACTGTAATTGTTAAAACGTCAACGATGGTCGGTGCAGGCATGACTATCGAGAAATTCAAACGTTGTTACTGCGCATGGGTAAACGGAAGTGCCGGCAAAATATGGAAAAAGGATCCTGACCGGTTCACGGCTAAATATCCACTACGTTAATGTAATATATTGTAATAGTATTTTAGATGACATTTCATTAAAGAAGATCAAATTTAGCTGGGTCGATTATTAGTTGGTCAGATTTGAGTTTCATATAGTTGCAAAATCATTTGCTTTAGTAGAAGCTAGCTCTTTTTATTGTAAACCCTGAACACTTCTAAGAATAAAAATTCCAGCTTTAGGTTTGCCTGTAATTTGCTAAAAATGGTCGTCAGAGAATGATAAAATCTGAAGCTCAGTTCGTCTCCAATTAAATATATTTATATATATGTAGACGGAAGCGACGATAGCGTATACATCGGTAAAGGACTGCTAACATCAATTCCATGGAATCTTTTTACCTAATCGTAGACGAATCAGGTGGCGTAATCTTACACTGAAAAAATAGTACGGATAGCATACATTAACCTTTATCAATATGTAAAGCATAATATTTAGAAGACTGTTTTTTATTTTCGAGATATAACTGTTGACTTCATGATAAATAATAAAAATAGCCCTATAGAGGACTTTATATCTATAAGGGGAATGTTATTATGCAGTATATTATACCGTATATAAATATTTCTTCGTGACCAATCTCTCAGACAGATCACGAATTTTAAAAATTATGGAAACTTCTCAGTAAAGTTTTTTCCCAGAGAGTTAGATGCTTGCCTCTATGGTTCGATCTCGGCATTGGTAGAGATGTATCTTCGAAATTTTCAATCCGGCTTCCCCTTGTCAATGAAAGAGATCCTGGCTACGGCCTGATGGGTTTTCGGGGCATGTTTGGTTTCCTTGGCGCCTCAAATATTTTCATAGTTGTTCTTTCCTTCTGGGTTATTCATATTTGGTCGTTCGTTTGGGTGTTAAGTTTTCCACCTGCATAAGAAAATTATATCCTGCACGATGCACTAGAAGTTTCCATCATTTCAGGTGACCAATATAGATACAATTAATGGTAATGGTGAACGGTGTTAATCAATATAAACGACAACACGTGCTTGCCTTAGATACTAATGGTGGATGATGATGATAGGAAACCAAAATGAATGGAGTTTTACGTCCTATTGAAGACGGGGAACGTCCATGATGATAGAAAGCCAAAATAAATGGAGTTTTACGTCCTATTGAAGACGGGGAACGCCATGCAGGGTGCAGTGAGGAAGGGCATAGAAAACCAAGGAACTGTTCTTTGTTCTAGTATAAGAAGGGGATTACTTCAATTTCCCTATACTTCAATTTCATGTGCGAGGTTTGTGATCACGTGTGAGCTTCTGTTAGGTTGGAGTAAGTTTGTTCTGTTCTGCGCTGTTCGTTCTGCTCGTAGGTTAGGTTCATTTGGTATATTAGGCTAGGGACAGGTGTGGCACCTTTTTGACCAATCATACCTTAGTCTCAGAAACCGAATTTTTTTAGCTAAGCCAAGCAGTAATAGTGTTTACGATTCACTGTCGAAATTTGAGCTTCAAATCCACGTGTGTCTAGAATTATCCGCACTAGAAAGTTAAAAAGACGAGTCGTCTTTTCTTGAGACTGTCATATGATATATACTAGAGGAAAGACATATATGGAAATAGGAAAAGAAATTCCTAGTTTGAGATATTTTTGAAGGAATAGTGCCATTTGTACATTTCTAGTACTTCTGAAGACTATTTACATATATTCAACACTCAAATACGCCCCCCCCCCCCCCCACCACCCCGAAAATAGCAAACCCGTCTTATTATGGATTTATTGGTCAACAAACTTGAACAGTTTCTTCTCCAGAAAATTCGAGTGTAAGAATGTGCCATCACTAATTAAGAAAAGAGGGGAAATACGTCGTTATAAGCTATGAATTCAACGAGTATAGGTTATATACGCACGAGTTTCCGAGGTGTGAGACACAAGTTTCCAATGGTGCTAATATATCAATGACCCATTTCCTATACACTCCTTCTTATAGGGGTCATTTACTGCCATTGCAGATGGCGATCAACTTGTTATGTATGGATATAAATATTTTTTATTTCGTTTACTTTTGTTATAATGAATATAACATTTATTATTTCCCCCAATTTTTGTTATATAAACATATTATAATATTTCTTTATATATATGTATAATTTTTATTATCAATAAAATGACTCAAAAACACAACCAGAACAATTTTGATAAAGTTGCGCAAGATAACAAGAACTTATAACACATTGGTGCATATAGCATATTAAAAAATAATGAATTTGTTTTTAAAATGTCTTGGATAATAAAAAATGTTCATTTGATGAAAATCTAAAATTTTCCTTGGAATTGCGTCCTATTGGAATTGTTTATTATTGCCCGTTTTGTTTTGATGGATTTACCACGTTTTTGACCGCGTTTGGTAGAATACAACGTAGTTACCACGTTTTTGATACAATACCACGTTTTATCGAAATATAATATCGTCCTTTCAGCGGTCATAATTATCTCTAAAAAATTAAATATACAAATGTTTTAAGCCGGCTTAGCCCTGATTCTTCTGAACAATTCTCTCACCATTTGAACTTTGAAATCGAGGATTAAATTGCACACAAAGAGGAGATAATCTTTTAGAATTTTAATTCCACGATTTCAAAGTGCAGTTTAAAGCGAATAATATAAACGTGGATTCCGATCGATTCAACTTTGATATTTGTATTGAATTTTTGAAGGTTGTAGCATGTGATAGATGTAGGGCAATTATTTTTAAACATAATTTTAACAAGAGGATTAATTAAAATCATTACGTAATGAAATTAAACTTAAAATAATACGTTTTATTTAATACTTAACATGATATGAATGGAGTTTTACGTCCTACTTTTCTACACCTCATGGGTTAATAAGAGAGTTCAATACTTAAAGGCTATACAAAAAAAAAAATTTTCATAGAATAAGAAAAAGTTTCAAATATAGTTGCAATGACATAAATTTGTAAATTTGTAAAATTGTAAATAAGTCATTTGTAAATAAACGTTGATATTAGGCCTACATAGATTGACAATTTACCAACATGTTTCAGGTTCTCATATTGCTCTACAATTGATGTATCGAGCACTATTTTAACAGTGGTATTTCTATATAGCTCTACAATTGATGTATTGAGCACTATTTTAACAGTGGTATTTCTATATCGCTCTACAATTGATGTATCGAGCACTATTTAAAAGCGGTATTTCTATATCACTCTACAATTGATGTATCGAGCACTATTTTAACAGTGGTATTTCTATATCGCTCTACAATTGATGTATCGAGCACTATTTTAACAGTGGTATTTCTATATCGCTCTACAATTGATGTATCGAGCACTATTTTAACAGTGGTATTTCTATATCGCTCTACAATTGATGTATTGAGCACTATTTTAACAGTGGATTTCTATATCACTCTACAATTGATGTATTTAGCACTATTTTAACAGTGGATTTATATATAGCTCTACAATTGATGTATTGAGCACTATTTTAACAGTGGCATTTCTATATCACTCTACAATTGATGTATTGAGAACTATGTTAACAGTGGTATTTCTATATCACTCTACAATTGATGTATTGAGCACTATTTTAACAGTGGTATTTCTATATCACTCTACAATTGATGTATCGAGCACTATTTTAACAGTGGTATTTCTATATCACTCTACAATTGGTGTATCGAGCACTATTTTAACAGGGGTATTTCTATATCACTCTATAATTGATGTATTGAGCACTATTTTAACAGTGGTATTTCTATATCACCCTACAATTGATGTATTGAGCACTATTTTAACAGTGGTATTTCTATATCTCTCTACAATTGATGTATTGAGCACTATTTTAACAGTGGTATTTCTATATCACTCTACAATTGATGTATCGAGCACTATTTTAACAGGGGTATTTCTATATCACTCTATAATTGATGTATTGAGCACTATTTTAACAGTGGTATTTCTATATCTCTCTACAATTGATGTATTGAGTACTATTTTAACAGTGGTATTTCTATATCACTCTATAATTGATGTATTGAGCACTATTTTAACAGTGGTATTTTATATCACTCTACAATTGATGTATTGAGTACTATTTTAACAGTGGTATTTCTATATCACTCTACAATTGATGTATTGAGTACTATTTTAACAGTGGTATTTCTATATCACTCTACAATTGATGTATTGAGCACTATTTTAACAGTGGTATTTCTATATCACTCTA